ACAGAAAGAGGTATGGTGTGGATGGCCTCACCGGCACTAACATAGGATATCGTGACAGCGAGGAGGTGCTTCATAGTGAAGTCTGGAGAGATCATCGTTTCGGTCCTTTTGGTGCTTCTTTAACAATTTGCAGGTCTTTCTATTTGCGAAATTCCACTTTTAACAACCATCGTAGAGCCTTTTTCTTCACGTTTCAGGCAAGGGAACGTAGCTGGTTGGTAAAATATATATATACACGCGCGCGCGCGCACATATGGATATCACTTGTGAAGAGAAACCTGGAAGGTTACACATATCTCACGAACTCAGGCCTGCAGTGACATCACCAACCATCTTGGGGCATGGGGGTGTATGGTCATCGGCTATTAGGCTTGAAAATTACAAGTGTGAAGATCTGGCCTAAATGCCAGCACATTCTGTATAGCTTCCCTGTGAGTGAAAGAAATGAAAATCTCAACTGGAGTTTGTTCGCCTAATAGCAAATGCAATCGGGGTGACCGTTGTTGATTGTCCCCTGTTACTATATTGGATGCTTCTGCACAGTCTATGAAAACGTCAGTTATAAAGAAACTTGCACTAGTGTAATATGGATATGCTACGTTTTATCGTTGTTGAATGGTTGGAAGTATATGCAGTTACTAGTGCTTCATTTGCGGTCTTGCTCCCTCCAAGAAAAAAGTAGACATCCCGCCCGCCCATCCAAGATAAAATGACAGTTAATAATGAATTTTCAAAAGTAAAAAGAGTTAAGTTTCCTTCGTTTCTTTTTATAAGCTGTTTATCCATAAGATTGTTATTACTATGCATACGCTGATATTTATAACATGGTTGGTCGATCGATATGAATTTTTCCATATACAAGCCACTCGTACGGGTCAACAATCAGTTTCATTGAGGCATTGAAAGTCACTGGGTGCGCATGCGACATGGTAAACGTCAGATGTAGTGAATGAATAGGTTAAAAGCCACAGTAGGAGGCCACAGTAGGGGTGTTCGTTCTGTTTTGTTCCGTTCCGATGAGTTTGCAACAGGACGGGATAAAAAAATTTTCAGGATTGGACGGGGTCGTCCAGTCCCGTCTTGTCTCGTCCTAAAATATTTTTTTAAAAAAATTATTTATTAATAATTATTATTAGATTATTCAATTTATTAATTAATAATAATTATTTTTTGTAATGATTTTTATTTCTTAAGTTGTAGTATTATCTTAACAAAATTTCCTTCCTCAATAAAATAATTTATAAAGCCATTATATAGTGTTTTTTTATAATATTGTTTATACACTTTTTTTATATTGTATAATTAAGCTTTCTACATAATATTTTTATCATTAAAAGCCCAATAAAATATAACCATTATAACATAAAAAACTTTATAGAAAAAATTAGTATTTTTTTTTAAAAAAAAAGAGAAATGGGGCATCCGGTCATATCAGGATATCGGGATTGGGACAGAAACGGGCTCCCATCCCATAGGCCACAGTATATCCAAACCAACAATGACAAACACATGATTGAACAGTTCAGAATGACCTCCCCCACGCCATCTCCGCAGACCTTTGATATTAACTAACATTCTAAACAGTGGTTGGCATAGGATTTTGGGTTAGTGGCAGCATAAATTAAATAAAATTTAATATTCTTCCGATTTTAAATATAAAATTTTTATACTAGTCTGTAAAATGGTTTTATATTTAAAACTGAAAGAACGTAACAATGGTTTTTTGGGGTATTCAAAAATTACCCTCCTGGATACGTAAACAGTAGATCTAGATAATATGTTGAGTGTGTAGAGATTGTCCGTCATATTTCTTCCCCTGCTCCCTTGTAGATTTGTGGCAGTTCCAAGTATACAGCCATTTCGAAACCAGATTTTTTTTTCTTATTAAGTGTTTTATCATATAATTAAATATTATTTTTAGACCAGTTTCATGTTTATCTCATGATTTTTGCCCACATCACTATGAATTTTCAACCAACGCTGCCTCCACTCCCCTCGCGCGTGCTGGTTCGCCGTCTTTTTGTCTATCCCGAACCTCAACGCTGTAGATTGTTATCTAATGAGGTGGCAATGTCCAACGAAACAACTGAAAAGAGGAGGCTGTCCAGAAATGCGGTGCATATGTATAAATAATATATCGTTCTGTACTATCTTCTCTTTATCTTTTATTCTAACTATAAAAATTGAATAATTCATCTATAAAATTTAGAAAAATTATTTGAGTTGATAACTTTTAAAAATTTACCTTTGTTTTTCCAAAAATATGCTATTCAATTATTTGTATTAAAATTATCCTATTCATAAAAACTATTTAATATGGATAATCAATAGCGCATAATTTCTGGGGGGAAGATAAATTTGGGAATAAAGCAGATTAAAATCTTACATGTAAAACTAAAACAAATCTATCAATTAGCTACCGCGATTAAAAAAAAAAAATTATTCCAGCTGGGAGGATTAATAATTTGTTAGTTTTATTTTTTTATCAACTCTTTATAATACTATTGGATGCACAAAAGGATGACCTAAAGTTTTCATGAAGACAATCTAAAACAGAAAGCAGGGAGAGCAACGTGTAAAGACGTACACGCACTACTTTGTTTAGAACTATTTTTGGAGCTACGGACAAACTTCGCCCCATTCTTTCATAGGATTCCACCATGTATGGTCACAGAGGAACTTGCCTCCTAATTTATTTTAACATTAAAACCTTCCTCAAACTAAATAAATTATCGTCGACGTCAGCCACCCTTCACAACCAAAAAGGTCGACGGTGCGTGGGGAGAAACTAGAAAGTGGGTGGGTGTAGTTTTCTCTGCGTGGTACACACTAGAAACTCAAGTTGCTTGGCCCCTCCCTCTCGTCAGCCAAAAAAAGTAATTAATCAGTAGTATTCCCGCAAGCCTTTGCTCCAAAATCTGGAGAGAGATCATATATATATATATATATATAGTACTCCTCCAGTCTTAAATATAAGACTTTTATACACATTAGTATATAAGGGTCTTATATTTATGACTGGAGGAGTATATAAAGATTATATATAAATATTATGTTATCATTCTTTTATTTAATTATTTAAATCCCAGGGAAATCTCGCAATAAGGAAGGGAAAGTGGGAATAAACTGGGTGAGAATAAAATGAGCAAGGGGCACGCCACTTACTTGAAGGTTTAATCAAGGGTGATTATATAATTGTTGAAAGATATGGGAGATGGAGCGCCTCTGGCTCTGCTTTAACGAACTTGTGCGACTATAAATAAATTGTATTGGGTGAGAGCACTGAGGATGCCAGGGGGGTCCCACTTGACCCTTCCCCCTTCTGAAGGGAAACACTTGCTTTCAGTACGATTCTGAACGGAAATTAGTCTCCGGTAGTGGAAATCTAGGGAAATCCCACTTTAATCCCACATTGTCTCCAGATAATCTATTATTGCTTTATTCGTCAGTACTGGTTGTTTGTAACATTCAACCACGTTTCACCAATCACTCCTCAAAATTTATGTTTCTCATCCTGCCATATATGCAAAAGGCGAAAAAAATTAATTTTGTGCTGTATATATGCAAAAGAAAAAAAAATCATATTGTGTTGCATATACGAGAAAAATCATACTGTGCTGTATATTAAAGTTCAATAAAAGTTCAACTTTTTGACACCCAAAAAAAAAAAAAAGCAAATCATACATCAACTGTTCCAAAGAAGTTACTTCATGTTAAAATATGTCTTGATTTGTGTTTGAAACCTCTCGTTTTAATTTCATCAAAAATCAAAGCAATGCGGGAGTAGTTTTATTTTGAAAATTACAAAAACAATGCGTGAGTGAGATTAATTGAAGCATGAACTTTTTTCTTACGTCAAAAAATTGAACTTTTATTTTAAAATAGATATATTATTTTTAATATTAAAAACCAAAATACCTCTTTATTAACTATAAATTAGGGGTTCAAATAGGGGTAAATTCAATAAGTAATCAAAATAGTATATAAAACTTACCTAAGTTAATCAATAAGGTAATTTCCTAATAACTTACCTTTACACTTCTCCCCAACCAAGTCATCCCAAGCATAATATTGGGTTTAGGGGAGGCAAAGTTTTAATAAACTTGAAAGGGAATGGAGTCGTGCAGTCTTCATCTCTATAGGATTAAAAATAACTTTGTAAATTTTCTGGATATTTTCGTTCTATCCTTCAAGTCTAATAACTTAAACCCACTTTTCATTTGTAAGGTAATGATTAAAGTTTTGATATTTGTAAAACAAAAGATATGAACCGTAATATAATTTTTTTTCTTGTTTTGTAGAAGAAATTAAAAGAATTTGACTCAGATAAAAGGATTATAATCCCTCTCCTCTCCATTTTTTTCATTATTTTGCAATAAGAAGTCATTATAAAACCACTTCGCTCTGAGCAAACCCTGTGAATCAATTAGGTAAGACTAAACAGTAAGGCTGCCATAAACATCATTATTATACTTGGAATAAGAAGAAAAGATGGAATAAAAATAAAGCATGGATATCTCATCTCCTTCCTTTTAAAACAATAAAAAAAAATCTCAACTTGAGTACGACTTAATTGACGTTCAGATTCGGACAAAAGAAAATGGTCGTCTTATGCAGACAGGGGATTCAAGGCAGCGGCATTATGTTAAATATTATTATACACACACACGCATTGATCCTGTCCGAGAGATATAGTATTTAATGCATGATGTCCTTGAAAATAAAGCAATGAAAAAAAACTAAAGTATTATTTATCATGAGTTTCGATGAAATACTCAGAGCTTCATTTTTTTTCTAACATGCTAAAATATTCAAACTAGGTCCACATTGGCCACTGCTTCAGCCACACAGTCATCGTCACTGGTTGCTGCGAATACATTAATCGCGCGCACTTTCTGGTGGTCCCATCACTCGCCTTCTCTACCATGTCCTTCTCTTTATAAGAACCCGACCTCGCTTCCAATTTTCAGCACTCTGTTAACCCCAAGAAGCTATAACAAAGCCACCTCATACGGCTTTGTTAATATAAGCTTCTTCATTTAAGCATGCCTGCCCTCGGTGGTTCCAAAGCTTTATGGCGACGGTGCCTGGCCTCAGCATTCCGAACTGCCTTAGCCTGCACCATCGTCGGTTGCATCACCCTTTTCGGTCCTTCCTCAATTCAACAGACGATCACCTTCCCTGCATTCTCCTATGTCACAGTTATTCTCATTGTAAACGACGCCGCCTTGGGTGACACCTTACGCGGCTGCTGGCTCGCGCTTTACGCCACGGTTCAAAGCATAGGTCCTGCGATATTGAGCTTGTGGCTTATAGGGCCGAGCCGGCTGACGACGGGAACTACGTCGTTGGCGGTGGCACTGGCCGCATTTGCGGTGGTGGCTTTGCCGGCTGAGTGGACTCATTTGATTGCTACACGCATAGCACTGGGCGAGATAGTGATTGTGTACGTCATGGCTTATGCTAATGGCGCGCACACCGATCCTGTCATGCACCCTCTCCGCCTGGCTGCCAGTTGCGCCATTGGAGTCTTGGCCTGTGTTCTCGCATTGCTCATACCCTTCCCTCGTCTTGCATGTCTTGAGGTAAATTCTCTACAACTATTTGCTTTAACTTAGTGTTTTATAGAGTATTTTGAAGATAGAATGAATGTCCAGAAAATTTATCATTCAGTAGTTGGCGTCAAACTCTGTAAAGTAGGACGCACACAAGAGAACTGTAGTTTCTCACACGATCACATTTGTGCGCGCGCCAAAAGCCCCATGATCATAATTCGCGCACCATCACCATCGGTACCACTATGGAGAATAGATGCTCCATAGAATAAATGCTACGTGTGCTCTGTCCACTATCCATGTCCATGTGAACTACAAGGCTCAATATTAACAGTCGAGCGTGGCAAAAGAACAAAAATTGGTTCGTTTTCATTCCTTACATAATCACATACTGACATTAATGATATTTTATGTTGGTGTTTGGTGCAGTTGAAACAGAACAACAAGCTGCTGGCTCAGAATACCTTTGAGAGACTGAAAATTCTTGTGAAGGCAATATGTGAAGAGGATAAGGCAGCTGCTGTTGCGTCGATGTCTCGTGCCAAGTCTTTGGCAACAGGCCGAACAGAGCTCCTTCATTATATCGCGTGTTGCCAGGTGCAGCTCTCTCTTCGCTTTGAATAAAGATTAGTTATATATATACGAATTCAGCATATGTCCGTTGATAATAAATATTAACTGTTTTCCATTCGAATTTCTAATTGTTATTTATTAACAGGAGGGCATGAAATGGGAGAGGCCTCCCTTTTTGAGACCCCTTGACTTGAGCTTGAGAGAGAGGCTTGAAGAGGTAGATACAACCTTGAGAGGCATGGAAATGGCTTTAAGGACCATTAATTCATTCCCCGTTACAATTCTTGATAAGGATCTTCAACACAACCTTAACAGACTCGAGGATCACGTTAGCTTAACCATAAAGAATGCTAAACATAACATGAATGGATGCTCACTGACCGTTCCTGAACCCAGTACAAAAAGTACAACAAACTTTCTCCAATACCTTCAAACCATTCCAACGGCCCACCAAGACCTGCCCAGCTTTTTCTTCTTATTTTGTGCCAAACTCCTCCATAAAAAATCGATGGCCAAGTCCCCGTCTCCTATTGAAGAAAAGAAAATTGAAAATCCCACCGAGTCTAAAAAAGAGTGGGCTGATTGGGCTGGGACATTAACAGTCCCAAAGCTTATTCCAGCATTTAAATGCTCCCTCTCTTTGGGCCTTGCAGTGTTGTTGGGCATGATTTATAGCAAAGAGAATGGGATCTGGTCTGGGCTCCCCGTGGCCATAAGCTTCGTATCAACCAGAGAACCAACACTAGCAGTAGCAAACGTTAAATTCCAAGGGACTGTGATAGGGACCGTGTATGGAGTATTAGGTTGCTTCGTGTTTGAGAGGTTCTTGCCTATAAGATTCCTCTCTCTTCTTCCTTGGTTCATTTTCACGAGTTTCCTTCAAGGAAGCCGAATGTATAGAAAAGCTGGTGGGATTTCCGCAGTCATTGGGGCTGTACTTGTATTGGGCAGGAAAAATTTTGGGCCACCAAGTGAATTTGCTTCGGCTAGAATCATGGAGACCTTCATCGGGCTGTCTTGTTCCATTCTGGCGGATCTCATCTTCGTCCCCAAACGAGCTTCTTCGTGCGCGAAAATTGAACTCGCTCGAAGTCTAGCCTCGCTTCACGATTCCTTTGGATCTCTGAGTCTTGTGGGGAAAACAAGCTTGGAAGATAGCGCAAGGAAGTTGAGAAAGCAGGTTAACGAATTGAAGAAATTTGTTGCAGAAGCGAACCAAGAACCAAACTTATGGTTTACGCCTTTTCACAGTGCTTGCTACAATAAGCTCCTGAAGTTGCTATCAGAATTGACGGACCTCTTGCATTTCGAAGCTCACGCGTTAAAGATCCTCCGGCATGAATTCCAGAGAAATGAAACTGGCTGGAAAGAGACCGTAGAGGCTACGCTAGAACGCGACATTGGAAACATGAGGGAAGTAATTTGTTCGTCTGTAAAAAGTGTTGAGGAAATCTGTAGGATCAAATCGCTTAGATTTCTAGAGAAAGAGCTTGAGAAGAATGACATAAACTGTGATCTTGAATTGGGGATGTCCCCAGAATCTAAAATCCGACTGGCTTCTGGTTTGAGCAAAGATGACGTGGAAAAAGCCATAGGGTCGTATCTCCAGCACTCGAGGAATGCCGTTGACACCATATATGGGGGTGAAGAAGGTGAGAGGGAGCTGAAGAGTGAAGTTGTTCTGAGTTTGAGCGCTCTGGGGTTCTGTTTAAATGCATATATGCTTAAGACAGTGGAGATTGAAGACGCAATAAAAGAGTTAGTCCAATGGGAGAATCCTTCAAGGGAGGTCAATTTGTATCACATAACCTGTAAAATCGATGCTCTACCCAAATAACAAGTTCAGGTACATAATTGCAATATCATTTTGTACTTCAAACTTTAGGAAAAAGCTCCTCACTGACTTTGGATTGCATGAAGTTTCACGTTACTTAGCAAGAGTTTGTCATCAAGAGTACAATCATTTTTATGCATTAACTTATATAATCTAAATTTACCGATACAATATGTTACGAGTCTTTGGAATAGATCTGCGAACACGACTGTTGTACCTAGGACTGGGAAGCAGGCTTGTGGTAACAATTCAACGGCAGTTGTGTAGATCACTAAAATCTATTTTATATATCTACTAATATTCATGTTCTTCATTCGGGCACGTCATTATTAACCGCGTCAAAAACAAAATTATTCAACAGAATGGACTAATATATCACTGACACTAAGATTAAATCTCCTCCTATTAAGGTAAATTTTCAATAAAAGATTAATCAATAAAATCCATACTTTCACTGCAAAAGTTAAAAGCGCAAAAAAAAAAAAAAGCACGACACAATTAAAATTCAAGTAATACTTCCGGTCTTTAATATAAGATCTTATTTTGACTTTTATTTTGATCCTAAATATAAGACCCCAATCCACTTTGTCTTTTATATTTACTCAATTTTTTTCAAGATAATCCTTCTAATAATTATAGTTCTAGTTAATACACTTGATTAGCAAGGGTATTTTAGGAAAGACAATTCCTATTTAAGACAAATAACTAACTTAACTTACTTTTTTAATCTCCTCAAATTAATCAACTGACTCTTATAATTAGGATTGGAGGTAGTACTGTTTTATTATTTTCTACACGTACTTGCTATTGCGCTCAAAAGTTTACCCGTACATGTCAGCTCCTAAAAGAATGTTAAATTTGTCAACAAAAACAATTTAAAGTCACTTGGAGCTAACTCATGCAGTAAATATGGAGGCAGATTCATTTAAGTAGCTTACAATAATTTAAATCCTCTTGAAATAATAAAAAAACATATATTAAGAGTGTTGTGAAAGAAAAACTAAAAAGGTGTTTGGCTAACCCAGAGATGCTTTTCAGAAATACTTTTCGCAAATCGAGAAAAACTTTATTACATATTCACTTCGTATATTGTAAAAACACTTCTAACACTATGATTTTGTTTTTACCCAAACATCCTTGAATCGAAACTAGAATCAATTATCAGCGCTGTTTTATTTGCTGCTAATGTACGGCGGACTTTACATCCTTTCAACACCATGCGAGAATTTTAAATATCACTCTCATTTTAAATACGAGTCATTTGTAAGAAGAAGTTTTGATCAAAAATTAAAAATACCCTCTCAAGCACGTTTTATAAAATTTTATTAACTAAATTAAGTGGCTTAAAAAAGCATTTAAAAGTATTAAATATGTAAAAATCAAAACCTCTTTTTTTTAGTACACATCCTTATTTAACGAGAGAGCAAATAAAATTCAAAATTATCAGTTATGAGACAAATGATAAAAGAGAATTACAAAATTAATTAGGGATAAAATTAGTAAAAATCACATTTAATGTCTAAACAATTTTTAATAAAATTTTATAAAAAGACCAAACCAATTGAAATTTTTATGTCTTATAAATAGGAGTAGAGACTCAATGCGCCTTACTTTTCTAATTAGTTATTACAACTTCCACCAGTCTTCATTATAAGATTTTATTTGTAGACTACAAATGAGGTCTTATAATTGCGAACGTAATAATTTAAAAGTTGCAATAGTATATGTACGAAATTTAATACTCCTCCGGTCCTTAATATAGGACCCAATTCTTGAGTTGGTTTTGGTCCTAAATATAAGACCCATTTCTCATATTTTTCAATTTTCTCTAAATTACCCCTATAGATACTCCCCTAACCATAATCAAGTAGAAGAGGGAGAGAGGGTATTAAGAAAGATGACTATGGTGTTTTAGGAAAAATGTGTCACTTTTCGTATAATTAACTAATTTACCTAACTTCCTTAATATAATCAAATTAGTTAAATGGGTCTTATATTAAGGACCGGAGGAGTACTATCTTCGGTCTTTAATATAAGAGTTAGTTAATTAATTTAAGTAGATTAAAGAAATTAGTTAAGTTAGTTATTTGTAATAAATAGATGTTGTCTGTCTTAAAATATTCTTGTTAATCAAGATTAAAATTATCATTATTATAAGAACTAATTTGAATATAAAAAATAAAATAGATTGAAATCTTATATTTAGAATAAAAATAAATATAAAACAAGTTTTTAAGCACAGTGTAATAATTTATTAATTTAGCACAGTAAGGTCTTATCCAAATGGCGTGGCAGCCGTCAGCAGGATATCGTTCAACACAACCCGCGCAGTAGCGGCACATGCAGTCGTGTTAGTCTGTTTTTTGTAGAGAGATCAGAGACCGGAGACTCGAAGTCAAGCATCCTTCGTCCCTCCCACAGAATCAGCTTTTCTGCAATCCTAAATTTAATCCGTCCCTAAACGTGTTATCGCTTCTCAATCTGCCCTTCTCCGGATCTCAATCCTCGGCACTTTTTCTCCTTAAATTATCTTTTCCAAAACGCTGCACCCAACCCAATAGGTAATCAACTGTGCCCGATGCGATCAAAGTTTTATCACTAAGATGGTCGAATGGTGGTTTGAAATTTCTTCTTCCTGTTTCTTGAGTTGTTCTTCACTATTTCTGAGCCATTGTTGACTCTGCATCTAGTTGTTTTTCGGCAAGAAGCTCTGCATCTGGTTGTTTGAGGTCGCTTGATTTAACGTAAAATTCTAATAACCAATTTACTTTTTATGTGTAGAACCACTAGATTAATCACCATTATCATTTGTCGAAGTAACATCTCATTCCTTTTTTTGCTGTCTGTCGCTGCCACTTTATGATAATGGTCTTCTCCTTTTCATGAATTCGAAGCCTCCGAAATCGAATTAAGTTAATTCTTCATTTTTCGGGTAGCTTTTTCAAATTAGTTCCGCGTTTGTTGGGAGACATTTAATTTTCTGGATACCTCTTATTCTATATAATGGATCGCTGATCATGGTTGTTTGGATCAGAACTGTGGTTGGGGATTTTGGTTGACCTTTGCTTAAATGCCAGATCAGGTCTATTACCAGCTCTCTCTTTCTCTTATTCTGCTTGTCGCCGAAGTCGCTCCTCACTATATCTGAGCCATTGACTCTGCGTTGAATTGTTTCAAGTCAGTTGATTGACTTGTAAAATTGACACGACCCGTTTAATGTTTGTGTCGAAATACTCTGATATAACGAGTGTAAGGAATTGACTGCTCGCAAATTCGTGCAGGAATTGAACTTTAGAGGTTTGGACAATGGCAGCGAACTCTTCAAATGGAGATCAACAAAAAGCAACAAAATCGCCTCCCCTCCCATCCCCCTTGCGTTTTTCGAAGTTTTTTCAAGTGAAGTATCGCATATCATTTTTTGTTATGAGAATTTCATATCAATTCGATCTGGTTGTTCGCATGTTCTTCTCTTCTAGTAGCTCTCAAGTCTCAACTTTTATTATGCATACTTGCGCGTTTCAAAATATTTGATTAAGACCTCTCAAAAATTGGAGTTTTCTAAATCTTAATGACACCACATTCCTGAGTTTACATGCATTGATTTTTTTTTTTTTGGTGTCCATTATAAACTAAACGAGGCACTCTCTTCTCAATATTTAAGTTTCAGCCTGTAATTTGATTTTCACTACTGATCGGAGGGGTTTCTCCCTGCGGGGATCAGGAATAGGTCTGTTGGACCTTGCTGGGAGTGGGAGGACGTTAGACTTACTGATCCTGCCATGTCGATAAATTAAAGAATCTTCCGTTTCCATAACTATATTTCCCTTTGCATATTGTCTTGCAAAACTATGGTTCGGTGTACCATATTCCATCTGATAATTGAAAAATTCTGTGATTGTCAGAAAGATGCTTTTGCTGGGATAATCTGTTTTATATGATTGGCATTTCTAATTTGTTTCTTGTTTAACCAATATTTCTTTTGTTCTTGACAATAGTCCAATATGAGAATCCTGGTCACTGGAGGAGCAGGATTTATTGGCTCTCACCTAGTTGATAGATTGATGGAAAACGAAAAAAATGAGGTTGGCATGCTCAATATCTTTCTGAATACAGTCATCAAGTTTGTTGATGATCTGATAAATTTTCTAGCAAAATGCCATGCTGAGTTTGCCAGGTGAAATAAAATCTTGGTTTCATATTTTTGGCTTATTAGGTCATTGTTGTTGATAACTTCTTCACCGGATCAAAGGACAACCTTAGAAAATGGATTGGTCATCCAAGATTTGAGCTAATCCGTCATGGTATGTTCAATTTTCATCTTTATCTCTCTACCAATCTCCACAACTTCGCATTTTGGCATCTTAGTTGCGATTGCAGATCAAATTCTAGCCCATCCACTTTGTAATCGGTGCTTGCCTCTTGGATCTAGCCAGTGATGGCCATGCAACAAAAGTTTGTTGGTTATTAAACTCGAGATTAAAATGATTTGAGGCTCTCTAAGTCAATTGCTATAGATTAGCTGGCTCTATTATACCATACATACAAGTATGATTGCACAGTTATATGTACTGAGTCTTCTGTGCTTGCCTCCTGTGTAGATGTGACTGAACAATTATTGATTGAGGTTGATCAGATCTACCATCTTGCCTGCCCTGCTTCTCCAATTTTCTACAAGTACAATCCTGTGAAGGTGAGTCTTTAGAGTTTTATTTAGCATGTCCTATCATTTACCATGAGCTTATTATGTAAAGAATTTCTTGTCAACTGTATTAATTGTGTATTTTCTTCTTCACGCTATCATTTATACCAATATCATTGATTTGAAAGTTCTGTTTGTCTAGTTACCCTTGAGAAAATCTAACAGTTAAGAAAACGTTACAGACAATAAAGACAAATGTTATTGGGACACTGAACATGCTTGGCCTTGCAAAGCGAGTGGGAGCACGGTTGGGAGATCTCATTCTTTTTTCTTCATTTTAGAGTCTTAATTGATACCATCAGTTAGTTCCAACAAGTTTGTTATTTTATTGGGCAGTATTTTGCTTACCTCTACTTCAGAAGTATATGGGGATCCTCTTGTGCACCCACAACCAGAAAGCTATTGGGGTAATGTTAACCCTATTGGTAAGTGCTTATATCGATCCAAACTTACATCTTGGCATATAAAATGAGCTTCCATTGCTTTTATGATTGCCATAAATTAGCAGAGTTTGTTGAAAAGTGGTTAATCATTAACGATTCAAGCGGACAAACAGGGAATTCATTAATCAATATGAGCTGAAATCATTTGAATGCGTTTTCTCTTTGTGTTATGTCCTTTCCCAACGTACCCCAAAGAAAGAAAAAAAAAACAACGATAGGAAGCCTCTTTTTCCCAATTAGATTTCAGCTTTATGGTGTGAGGTGCTCCTGATTTGCATGATAGTGTATCAAATATTGTTTGAAAGCAAGGGAATGTTTTGTAAGCATCATAAGGGTATTGTCTAACTCGAGTATTTCCACAATAGGAGTTCGGAGTTGCTATGATGAGGGGAAGCGTGTTGCGGAAACTTTGATGTTTGATTATCATAGGCAGCATGGAATAGGTACGTCTTGTCGTTTTTCTTGTTTGTTTTAATTTTAAGTATCTTTTCTATGTTGAGGGTGATTCCACTTCAAGTTTTCCTTTGTTTCCAACTTCTTGATATGTCAACTTACATCATATCACAGAAATACGCATTGCTAGAATCTTTAACACATATGGGCCACGCATGAATATTGATGATGGGCGTGTTGTCAGCAACTTTATTGCCCAAGCACTTCGGTAAGTGCTTAATAATGTCTATGATATTTTAGTGAGGTGGTATCTACTTTCAATGTTGTTGCATGGCTTGTTTATATTTCAAGAAAACGTCAATGTGCTGCTACGCAGTCAATAAATTTTTTCTGACAGTAACGGTTGATAATTTAAGGCTTTATAAAAGTATGAATAATGCGTTTGATAGGCATGTTGTTTGCTTGCTTTGACTTCCCGTGTAATCTTGTGTATCTTATAGTGGAGAGCCATTGACGGTCCAACACCCAGGAACACAAACTCGCAGTTTCTGCTATGTCTCTGACATGGTATATATGAAATATGACATTTTTCATTTTGTTTTTTGTTATCCTGGGTTATTAGTGATGATCTGACTATAGTACGATGTTTGAAATCTACTAGGTCGATGGTCTCATCCGTCTCATGGAAGGGGAAGACACTGGTCCAATCAACCTTGGAAACCCAGGTTAATTTTCTATGACAAGACCTTTGTTATCTTTTGCCCACCTCTTTTACTTGGGTCTTTTGTTTACTTTTCAGGTGAATTTACAATGATTGAGCTTGCTGAGACGGTGAAAGAGGTGAGTTATAAACCATTTTACTTGTGTGGTAGTCTGCTTATGTTCTATTCCGTATAAAGTTCTATAAATCCGGGAATGGGTTTCTTCAATATCAGTCAACAAAATACCTGTAATGGAGTAGTTGGTGAAATACTTGTACCTAAAATGTTTTGTGGGTGGTTTTGCAGCTTATTAATCCAGCAGTGGAAATAAAGATGGTGGAGAACACTCCCGATGACCCTCGACAGAGAAAACCAGACATAACAAAAGCAAAAGAACTGTTGGGTTGGGAACCAAATGTCAGGTTGCGAGATGGCCTTCCTCTTATGGAAGAGGATTTCCGTCTCAGGCTTGGGGTTGAAAAAAAGAATTGAACTCAAACATTTTGCCCCTTCATGTCATCATGAGTAATGAAAGATGCGTAGTTAATTTGGTAGTTGCCTACGTTTTATTAGAGTTCAGTATGAACTTCTTCTCCTTGTTCTGTACCCCTTTCCCTTCTCTTTTCGGGTACATGCGCTTGCCAGCTACTGTTTAATAGCATACAAAGATAAAAGAAATTGCCAGCTACAATGAAATTTTTCTATTGATAATGTGTTGGATTCAACTTACCGCCGCCTTCAAGCAGAATATTTATTGTCTATATATGAGATAACGAGTATTATCTTTACGGTAGACTGAGAGAAAAATAGTTTTTCATAATTTTTTGTCGGTAAAATTTTAATTTCTTAACCACCCAAAGAAAGACTACGTGGGAAAAACGATAGGAAAACCAGCAGATGTAGATGCTTAAAGTCTTCCCATATGCAAATATCTAGTTAATTATCACAAAAAATCTGGTTAATTAGGTCGGACTTCTTGGCTCTTGCAAACGGGAGCAATAGCGTATTTTATAATGAATATTTATGATATCTCTTTTTTGAAAATTTTAAAATATTGGATGCCTATATTTTTCAGGAACTGAATCGTTGTGAATATATCGTCATCCATTTTGATAGATCTTTCAAGATATACCCAATAAAAAATATGATAAAAACCATGCGCTCAAGAATAACAAAAATGAAATCAAAATGGAAAAATACTTACTTTCATATTCAGCAATTTAAAATTAAAATTAATAAATTCAATTTATTTTTTAAATTATAAAATAATATTCTAATTATATTTTGGCCCCCTTGTTAATATTTTCTATTCAAGTTAATCAGCTCGATTTAGGAGATCAATCTGACTTTGCGGAAAAGACAGCCTCGGACAAACTGCCAGGCTGCCAGCGTGTTGCTCAGATGGAGGGTAGATGGGCAGGTCTTGTCCCCATTTACCTCCAAGTCCAACCAATGTGGGCCATTACACGTGGCAGGTCAATACACGTTGTAATCTTTCGCTGACAACTAATGTAGTCTCACGCAGGCACAGCATATTCGCTTTCGCTCATTGAGGGAAAAAATGTGATGGCATTAGCATATATTTGAACTTTATTTGATAGATTAATTTAATCTTTAGCGGAAAAAAATCTCTTTTGGGCCAAAACAAATCCTTAATTAATAATTGTCACTCACTGATCTACTCCTTAACCTCAAATCTCTTCCTGATTATAAAATCTGCCGCTGATTCAATTTCCAAATCTTTTAATTCAACAAACGCTTTTGGTTGAGACCCCATTCAGAGTTCTCTTAATCAAGGTAACAAGTCATTCCGTGCAGACAGAAACTTTAATGCTGGATTTTCGCTTATTTACTTCATTGTGACGAGAACAGTTTGGTATGGTTTCGATAACTGTTGTTGTTGCCCAGGAGCTTTCATGATTGCCTTCAACTTTCCGTGAGTTCGAAGGCTTTGAAATTGAATTTGTTTGTTGTGGGTTTTCATTTTATTTTATTTTATTTTTAAATGTTTTAGCATTGGTGATTTCTTCAAATGTGCATCTCTTCGTCTATATAAATGGTATCTCGTTAAAGAGTCTTCAAATCAGAAGTGAAATTTAGGGTTTTGGTTTGGTTCTCCCTGAAGCTCGCTATCAGGTCCTCTCTTTGCCCGATTTCTTAATTCGCTTGCTATTGAGCATGTCCTTCTGTCTGTTTCTCCCTTTTCAATAAGCGAACCAATTGGCCTTCTTGTTTATGATCTAAATGTAGCCAAATGGTTTTATTAAATATGAATTTGATAAAGCCTTCCAATGGATGTGTACAAGGGTGAAATAAATATACCTGATGGATATTCGTGCAGGAAATTTCAAGGATTCGAACAATGGCAACCAATTCTTCTAATGGGGATCACCAAACATCAACAAAGGCACCACCCTTGCCATCTCCCTTGCGTTTTTCCAAATTCTATCAGGTTGAACTGTCGCATCTGTTAAAATAATTAGCTATTTTCTTGCTACATTGTCTTTCTCATTAGTGCTAATTTGTTCTTTGGATTACGTTTTGCAAATTCATGTTTATTTAGTTGGTTAATGTCCTGTTTTTGCCTTTAGGTGAATACAAATTTTTATTATTGATAAGTTATATTTGATCATGGCTTAAAAGCAGGGAACATTGTTCTCTTCCTGATGGCAATAACGCCTGAATTATTTCATAATATGCTTATCTATATAATCTTTGCATATTTGTCTTTAGTTTTAGACTTGTTCACGTTTTTAATATGATCATAAGTTCGATATGAAATCACACTGCAAATTTGGATCTCATATATATATTTATACACTTCTCTTTCTTGGAAGTACAAACAACAGAAACTTCAGAGAGAATACAAATCTCATTTGCCTTTGCTTATGCATACCTAGAATTCAAAAGTATTCTCTTTCGTTTTTATATGTAAATTGCATCTTATATCACTTGTCGGTCTTGATGTTTTGTTTCACCAATATTTTTCTCATTCTTGTCAACAGTCCAATATGAGAATTTTGGTTACTGGAGGAGCTGGCTTTATTGGCTCTCACCTAGTGGACAGATTGATGGAAAATGAAAAAAATGAGGTAAGCACGTCTGATCTTTCTACTTATATAGTCATTATGCTTTTGTGATTTCGGTGATTCTATTCGTAGTAATTATCTATATATAAGTAATAAAATATGAACAGGACATAGAGCTAATTATGGTTTTTGTGCCTTAATCAGGTAATAGTTGTTGATAACTACTTCACTGGATCCAAAGACAATCTCAAAAAATGGATTGGCCATCCAAGATTCGAGCTCAAGCGTCATGGTATTGCCCTTTTTTCTCTCCATACAAGTCGTGCCCTCAAATATGTCACATAGAAGATGATATACTGGGGGTGATTTTCCCCCCTTTTTTCTCATTTGAAGGTTTATGTTTGAACTTTGAGCTCTTAAATCTAGGTGAAACTGATTTCTTTTAAATAAAATGCTGTGAAGGTTCGTGCAACTAACAGAAGCTTCACACTTGTACACTGCAACATAAAAGCAATTAATAGTTCACTGTTACTTGATCAACCACTATTTTGATCAGCGTTATGATATTTTGCTCGGAGAAAATGAACATCGATGCTGCTTTGTGTGCTTGGTGCATTTTCATCCACGTTGCCTTTAAACCCATCTTTGAATCGATGATACTGATCTGCTTTTACATTATTTTATCCCTTTACAGATGTCACAGAGCCTTTGTTGGTTGAAGTTGATCAGATTTACCACCTTGCATGTCCCGCTTCTCCTATCTTCTACAAATACAATCCTGTCAAGGTATGCCTGATTCTTTTTCTTTTTTCGTTTTTCTTTGTTCTTTGTTCTTTTTGGGGGTAAAACATAGTTTGATCTCAAGTTCCATGCATGTCATATACTCTCAATATATTATGGTCTAGCTTATGCCATGCATTACTGGTTGACAGTTTGCTGTCTGATAATACTTAAGAGACTATCTGAACTGTGGAGAAATTATAATTTTGCAGACGATCAAGACAAATGTGATTGGCACACTGAACATGCTAGGGCTTGCAAAACGAGTTGGTGCAAGGTTGGGGCAAATTTTATTTATTTAAAAAAATAAAAAAGTAATATTTTCGATTGTTACCAGCAATTGGTCTCAATTATCTGTTTTTCTATTAAAAGGATTTTGCTTACATCAACATCAGAAGTATATGGAGATCCTCTTGTGCATCCACAACCTGAAAGCTACTGGGGCAATGTTAATCCCATAGGTACCTGTTTATCTCCGACTCATCTTGTGCTGTCGCTTTCTTAAGGGGAAGCATTGCTATTTGCTAGTCGTTAGCATTTTACACAATGGTTCAGTAGACATGTTTCTGATGTATATAACCCACAAAGACCTGTTCTCTATTTAATTTGTGTACCACAATGTTTCCATTTGCTTATCCATCAACCTTTTCTTTCATGACAAAGAGGGCTCTGTTTTGAACCTGAGAAAGTAGAAGATTGAATCTCCGTTTTTTTTCCCCACCATGCAAGCATTAGCTTCATGATGTGAGATGAACTTTTTGAGCCAAAGCTCTGTCATCAAAATTATTTCATGTCAAGCTTAATGGGTCATAGTGAATAGGCAAGATTATATATTCTAAGCACTTAAAATATATTGTACATAACAGGGGTACGGAGCTGCTATGATGAGGGAAAGCGTGTGGCTGAAACTTTGATGTTTGATTATCACAGGCAGCATGGAATAGGTAAACTCTTGAACTCTTTTTCTTACACTGCCTCGTTTTTAGAGGGGTATAGCAGTATCAAATACTTCTCTGCTGAGTCCTTCATGTGTTTATGCCTTTTTACCATAGAAATACGTGTTGCAAGAATCTTTAACACATACGGACCACGCATGAATATTGACGACGGCCGTGTTGTCAGCAACTTCATTGCGCAAGCGCTTAGGTAAACACCTGACCTTTTACACTATATTATATGCTGTTATCTCTGCATGGATTGCTTATATCTTCTTTCTCCTTTTTTCTCTTTGCTATGACATTTTTCTCCCCTAGTTTTTTCCTATTTCTAATTATTGGCTCACTTCTCTCTTGAATCGGCTGCCTATTGTAGGGGTGAAGCATTGACCGTCCAATCTCCAGGAACACAAACTCGCAGTTTCTGTTTTGTCTCTGACCTGGTAAATATCTTTTCTTTGCCATTTGTTTATGTTTTATTGAATTACTAGCTTAATAAGACCATATTTGTTTGAAATCTCTCAGGTCGACGGCCTTATTCGTCTCATGGAAGGGGAACACAGTGGTCCAATCAATCTTGGAAACCCAGGTTACGTTTCTACTGCAAGACTTGCATTTAACTTTTGCCCGTGTCGGGTACTGACTTTAGAATGTTTGCTTTTTCAGGTGAATTTACAATGACGGAACTCGCTGAGACGGTGAAGGAGGTCAGTTAAAAGCTCTTGATTATTTTCAAATATATGATGATCGAGCTCTCGGTGCAATATTTGGTGTTAATGCTTCGTTATGGCTTTTGCAGCTTATCAATCCAAACGTGGAGATAAAGATGGTAGAGAATACTCCTGATGACCCTCGACAGAGAAAACCCGATATAACGAAAGCTAAGGAATTGCTTGGTTGGGAACCCAAGGTCAAGTTGCGGGATGGCCTCCCTCTTATGGAAGAGGATTTCCGCCTCAGGCTTGGAGTTGATAAGAAGTAAACTGTTGTTTACACCTCGTGTCTTGTCCAACCGCAAGGAGAGAATAAGTGTGCGTTGACCCTGAAATTCAGGTGTCCAAAGTAATTGCATTTGTCCAAGGTCTTTTTTTCCCCCTTCTTTTTCTCGTCTTTACTGGTTAAATTCATGTTGCTCCAAATTTTGTCTCTGAAACGATTATTTTGTTGAGTTATATTTCACATCAAGGCAACCTTGATGTCAGTTTCGATTTAAAATCATCTTTTAGAGCATTAAGCTGAGTTTCTTGTTAGTTGCATCTTTTTCGCTCCAACCGTATGTAAATCGGCTATCCACATTCCTGAAGATCACACCTGGATGCTTTCCCAGAATAAATTAATTTCAATATTCTTAATATAAGACCTATTTTATAGAACAAATTATATAAAATGGATTTTCTATTAAAAGTTAGGGTAGTAGATATGAAGACGTTGCTATGCAGTTTGCACCCGAAGCTATTGTCAGAGGCCCAAATAAAATAAAAAGTTGAAGTGGATCCATTGCCCCAATATATTTTCTCATGTCCATTTAACAGCCTAAAGTATTTTGTGATATATGCGGTACTTTTAAAGTATTTTTTAAGGATGTCTAGTATCATGAAGTATTTTTTTTCACCTTAATAATGGATGTATAAAAAAAAATTTTGGGTGAGTAAAAATATCTTAGAATGCTAGATGTATCAAAATATATTTGAGGATATTGATACACTTAAAAAATTATTTTAAAAAATATTTCAGAATGCTAAATGCAATTTAATCCTAAAATAAAACAATGCAATTGAGAGGAAGGATGTAGTAAATATAGTCGACATTGGATACCCCCATCCGTGTATTGGTGGACCAAGAACCAAGTACAGAAATGGCGAAAATAAGAAAGTTGATAACATAACAAATATTAATGTCAACATCAAATAAAAAAAATCTTTAAAGAGTCACGTTATATTCATGGATATTCTCACTCTTTTTAGATTTGGTGTAATTGTTTTAAAATTTTTTTAGAAAACTGTAAAAAGAAAAGAAACATGTTTTCAGGTTTGGCCAAAAAAGGCAGGCGTTAGAAATAAAAAAAGGTGCTTACAGCATGGGTCTGTGGCAAGTTGCAACAAAAGATTACTACAATCCAGAATGACGGGGAGAACATGATTTTAAGATACTCCTCCGGTCCTTAATATAGGACCTAATTATTAAGTTAGTTTTGGTCCTAAATATAAGACTCATTTATCATATTTATCATTTTTTTCTAAATTACCCCTATAGATACTCCCTCAATCATAATCAAGTAAAAGAAGGAGAGGAGGTATTAAGAAAGATGATTATGGTGTTTTAGGAAAAATGTGTCACATTTCTTATAATCAACTAACTTACCTGATTTCCTTAATCTAATCAAATTAGTTAAATAGGTCTTATATTAAGGACGGGAGAAGTATTTGTTTTCGTGGGAGCTTTAAGAACTTGGATTCATTAATTTTATGACTGCAATGATAATCAGCTCGTTTGTTGGACGCAGTTGCGGGCGTATACGTTATAACTCACAACCTCACCGTTCATGCAGCTCCTGTTCTTTTTCATCATTTTATTACTTGGTTTTATGGGCTCCGGGTTCCCCCCGTAGTCTTGTGGTCACGATAATGTGTAATAAATCAAAACGGATTGATGAAGAAATGACGAGTCAGCTTTGGGAATTCTGATTGCGACCTTTCCCTTGGATAAAGGGTGCAGATATAGTTGGATAAGAAGTGATTGCCACCCTGTGCTTCTTCACGGATCACTGTCCGCCGTTCGGATTGAAGCAGATTGTGAGTTGTGATTTGGACCTTTTCCTTTAAAGAATTCTTTCCCAGTTTGAGATCCGTGCATTATAAGGCAATATAATTATGTAGCGTAAAAGTTTAATATTATCCTGATCAGAGTATTTGGTTGCGTGGTTACATGATAATTAACTTGGTAAGTAATTTTATTTACATGGAAAATTGATACAAAATGTTACTACATCAATGAAACCCTTATTAAACAGAGTATTCTCTTTTCTCATTCTTCCTTCACTATTGTTTGCTTACTCAACAACCGTTAGCCATCGTCCTCCCCTAAATCCACTACCTATTGAGGGTCATTTCAATCTTTTTAATCCAATTTTGTATTTAATTTAAAAATAAGAATAAAAGATTGGGATTGCTCCTAGGCCTAGCAGGGAAGACACAGTAATCCCTCAGCGACCGCCCCTCACGCTGTCCTTTTTCGCAACTAACTTAAATTCGTTATCCGGATAAAAGCCATTCCTGTTTAGTGTTTTGGCGGTCATTATTTCCTGGGACAGCAACTGTCAATTTGATTTTAAAGAGGCGGTTCGATACCCTGCGAGAAGGAATCCGATTATTTTGCGTGTATCTGACTCAATCGGTGCTTCGAATTCACCCACGTGTTACAAATGTTCATCCACACTCGCGCCACCTAACAAAGCATTAGAGCGCAAAATACTGGCCGGTCTTCGCATATCTCCATCAATACACTGTGCTCCTCCGTGGCCAGCCTCTCTCACCGCCACGCTCTCTTTCCCGTCAGACTTGTCACCATTCACGAAATCACTAATCAATAAAATATAATAAAATTAGAAACACTGTGAGTCTTACGCCGTCACCAACATTATGTATATTCGTATGTCAACGTGTGATGTAGCTGAGGAAAAACGAACACAAGAATCGGAGGGAGTTGTTGATCGTTATGTCGGTGTAGTCGGATAATATCGAACAGTAGATTGCGATTCATAACTTTTTTTTCCCTGTTGTTGCTGAGTGGATTGGATTTGGTTTCTCGCGGTGCTTTCCCCAACACCTTTGTTGATGTCAAGGACATGACCGTATCGAGTCAGGACTAGGGTTTTGTGGTGCGTGAGATTCCGATTCTTCTTGATTTCTACTTGCTTTTTCTCGGATATGACTGCCGGAGCTCAATCTGCCCCTCGACGCTCTGGATATCTTGATGCTCTCTCTCAAGCCATTCACAAGAAGCTCCAGCGGGTTTGTTAACTACTTATCTTGCATTCTCTTCGAATTTCTCTGTCTGTGTCTGGATGTTAAGAAAATGAAATGGATCTCTGAACGGTTGTCCGGCATGATATGGCTAGTAGTTTTTGCTAATTGCGTATTGATTAAAATTAGTGCTCGAGATTAAAATACCTTCTCTTTCTGTGTTGTCCTCTCTGGATTTGTTGAGTTGAGACTAAATATTTCTTTCTTAAAATCTCCGTGAATGTCATTCTATATCTTTCAGCCAATATTTGATATGAATATTTGTCGATTTTTCCATTTTTTATTTTCTTATATAGAATTAATGAGAATTCATACCATGCTTTTACCAAGGCCAAATATAGAAGGAGGCGATTTCTTTTGTCTTAACAAAATTATGTTTGATAAATTGTTGCAGGCGAGGACTAATTCGTCACAGAGGCGCAATTTGCTGCAGGAGCTATTTGCAGACATAGCTTTAGAAGTTGATGACCGAGCCAAGGGTGAGTTCTAAACGGTGGATGAGAAATAGACGAGTAGCACTGTGATTTTTCCGCTGAACTAGTTTATATTCTAGGCTTACTTCACATTCATGCATTTGGTTTCTTCAAGTCGGCATGCCTGGCTTATGAATTGTGGTTCAAGTTAAGATGGAACCCCATTTTTTATGATCTGCACTGTTTCTATGCTTGACATGTTTATATTTTAGAATATTATTGCTTTGCTTGAAATTGTGATTACATCGTCGACCGTATAGTTCTTTTCAGCAATGCATTCTCAGCTATATTATGTATGTTAAAGAAAATCTAAATGGCAAGCGTATTGCTGATTATATATTTTGCTTGATGTAACTGGTCTGATGAGGTGCGCACTGAGTGTTAGTTCTCAGTAACGAGGGATTATTTGTATCAAACGAGCAGGGTTTGGCTATGGTTGTATTTACAACTAAAACCGTTGATTATTGGGATCAACGTTACTGTGTTCTAGGAGTCAAAAAATCATGTTTTTTTAGTTTCCGATTGCAAATATTAATCTTTTGACGTGAATAGATATAATTTTCGGCAAGGATGAAGATATAATTTCTCCTTCAAACAATGGCGATGGCCTGTTATGTTTCTATGATGTGCTTGCTGATTATTTTGTGCGGATGCCTGAAAGTGGAAAGCCTATCCTTGACTTGATTGTCCAACTGTGGAGCCAGTCATTTGCTTCTCATATTTTTGCGCTCTTGTTCCACAAATGGGTATGTAAGTAGATTCATCAATAGTGTTATATTGTTGTTTACTTGACACGATCTTTTTATTTGTTAGTTGTATGATCTTTCATTAGCTCTTTGTCTGGGTGTTAAAAGTATGATCGATGAACCGGAGGCTTGTCTGCAAAAAAAATGAACCTAGTTGTTGAAGCTTCCGTAGTATTTCTTATTTCTTTCTTTTTTTTTCAAGTTATTTTTCTTATTTCAACTAAATGAAGGTGAGTACATAGAATGAAATGGACGTTGGTTTTTCAATCGTAATCCTCATAAATTAAATACTATTGAAATGGCATTTTGATAATTTAAAGAAATAGATATTTTCCATAATTTAAAGCTGTTTTAGTTGAGTGTGGTCACTTGTCTGAACTTCAGCATATTCCCAGTTCCATCATGATCGCTTTGTACTAAGTACAGCAAAAAAGCCAATTAAGAACAACTTTTTTCTGTACTTATAACCTTACAGTCGGAGATCTAATTCGTATCTTTAATCATGTTTCATTTGAATTGGACTTTGACATCGTTACGTTGTATATCTCATCTCACCGTAGCTAGGAATTCAAGGTTCGATGACAACTGTTTCTAATTTTGTTCTAGATTTGATAGGATAGTTTTGGTAGCGTTTTCCTCCCCATTGCTGTGATATTCATTGCCATTAATTATGCACCTCCTTATAATCAGAGATATGAATCAGTTGAGCTTCTGTGTTTTCAGTATCCACTGTTATTTAACTGCAAATCGCTTTTTAATTATGATCAACAAAGCAAATGAATCTCTGCGTTTTTGGTACAAAAAAGGGAAACATATCCATTAGCTTATCTTTGCACCTAACTCTTTTTCTCTGGCTTCATGTTGTATTACAAAATGACTACTGCCTCAGCGCCTCTAATCTTTATGCAGTTATTTGAAGTTCAACTTGATAATCCAGAAGTGCTTCTTCGCTACTCATCTGCTTTGGTTCAAGGCGCCACAAATGTTTTCTGGTATGAACTCAAGTTGTTTTAAATGTTCAGCAAGTTGTTTATTACTTGCAATTTCCTGCAAGGCCTGATCTAATCTTGTGAGTTATGGATCTCCCAATAGGCTAACCCTTTTTTTAATTCTGGGTACAAAAATGATCCTTGAGCTCACGAGCCCTTCTGGGTCTGAACAAAACACTTCATTGTTCCAAAAACAACAGCCCGTACATGTTTACCCATCCCCAACGGGAAACCATTTTTAGCTAAACTATCTACGCAAGCTTTGGCAATTCTAGGTATGTATTTCATTTAAACCTCTCACGATCTAGCCAGTAACTCTTCAAGTGTTTTATACAGTAGATCCAATGACTCAAATCACTTCCGTAGGCTCCTAACCAAAACGAATGCATCCCCGTTCTACCTCAACTCTTTTGAAACATAGCTCCCATGCTAACTCCATTCCCATAACCAAGCCCCCTCCTTCTGCAGTTAAAGGCATGAACACCCCAAATTAATGGAAAATCCCAAAATCCAACTTCCGTCCTGATCATAGATAGCTCCTCCCTTGAATCGCCCACACAAGCTCCGACAGCACTTAATTTCACCCGCCCCTTCTCTAGTGCCCTTCATCCTCTCTTGATAGGACAACCTATCATATCTAGCTTCTTCATTCGTGAATCGTCTTCCTTCACAATATAATCAACCCAACACAAAACCATATTTCTTGACTCCGATATTCTTACACTTCTGACTATTAGCACTGCCAAACACCCTATCATTTCTATTCTTCCACAATTCCAGCCTGACCCCTGTAATCGTGAACGGTCTACCCCTTTATTCTCCTCTCTTAAATTCACTGTCAACCACTGCACAAGTGGATATCTAAAGAAGTCACACCAAGTCCTCCTAACCAAATCCCTCCAGAAATCCACAGCAGTATGACAGTCTCTAGGTACATGAATTGTGGGAGCCTTCACGGATCATCCTTGGACAATAATATGACGCTATAGATCAAGTTCGAAATTTAAATTCTTCCATAATTTTCAACTTCTAAAAGGAAGACGTTGAAGTGTTTTCTACTTTCCGCATCAGTTTTGAGATCGTGTGGATTTATTATTTGCTTCCACCTTCAAGTCAATTTCTGCGTTATTGTTCATTGTCAATTCAAAAGGAACCGAATCCAAACAGCAGAAATAAAAATGATGGCAAATGTTAAAGGCTCACAATTCCATTTGCATGCGCTATAACCTCTCGGAATAGACCTAGTCCAATGCTGATAAATTTAATCCTGAAACGTTGCACTGAAATATTGGTCATGCACAGGATTGACATTCAAACAAACACGAGGCGTTTCCAGTCCCTCTTTCATGTAAGAGTCATACTAATAATCTTGTGTTTATAATAATTTGGAGCAATGTTGTAATACATGCTGACGTTTATCAATTTATTTGTGTCTTTTCCCTTGTTTTATTTGCATATTTTTCCCTTGAGTTCAGTACCTTCTGGAGGATGTTGCGTTGGACAACTCACGATTGAATAAAATTCCTGTGCAGGCCAGTTCATCCTCTGAACAAAATAAAATTCGCTTTTGTTTATTCTTGCTTGAAATTGCATTCTGAAATTCACAACTTTTCATAAAATTCTCAGGCTCAGCGAGACATGTATCTTTTGCTTTCAAGATTTATTGTATTTTATAACTCAGGTAAACATCATCAGGAATGGTGTGTGAGCTTATCAGTGGGAATTGCACTATTCTCGTTTAATATGTTGTTCTGCTTGCAGCTGACAAGATAGAAAGCTTCTTGAAACAATGCCCGGATTTCCCAAATGCAATATTGGTTGGTGGTCCAGCGGATATATTCGTTACCGAACTGACTGATCAGGTACATTGAATACTGGTATTCATTTATACCATTATGGAATGAAGATCTGATCCTGTCTGAACCTATTGAGATTCTTTTGTTGGTCAGCTTCAGAAGTTAAAAGTGGAACCAGTGCTGCTACATTACCTCAAAGAAATTAAAGTACTTCAGGGTACAATATTTATCCTGCAGATGCTTTAGGCTGACACTCATACCGCGACCTTACCAGTTTTTCCTGAATTCTTTGGGTCATATTTATCACAGGGATGGAACTGAGACTGACTACAAGTACGAGATTGAAAACATGCTTGTATAGTTTGACTTCTCCGGGTGGTCCAATGTATCCCACTAGAACTGTCCGTCATGCCGCCTGGGAAGCATTAGATTTGCTTTTTCCTGTGAGTACATCTATTTTTTTATTCCTTTGTTCCGTTGTGCCCTAATTAAATCTGTAAACTTGATGAGCTCCATTCCTGTTAGCTTTCGCCAGAGTGAACGTTCCCTAAATTTTTTTTCTAGCCATTATTTCTTGGTAATACTGACACTCAGTCAGTTAGTTAATTTTGCGTCGCTAACTTGAAAACTTTTAATGACGCGATACAGGTTGGGCGATATTTTAGGCATCTCATAAGTCTTTTCTTCAGATTGCTATATCCATGGTATTGGCCCTCCTCGTGTTGGAACTTTGTGGTTTCTTGTGTGAAGGCAGTATTTCTGTATTTATGGAGGTTCATCCTTTCTTCCTGGGAGAATCTCGCCAAGCCGAAAACTTCATAAGTTGCCCCGCTTCCAAGTCTTGTAATCAGGGTGGTGCACAGTTGCCTTCTTTTTCCTTCACTTATTTTGTGGGTGGGGGTGATGTTGCACATTAGAGTACGACCCACATATTTTTCCATGAGGCGCATACTTCAAAAAATGTTCGTGCAAGTACCGAGGTTTTAATGGATCTAAAATTCAAATTTCAAGTAACCATATGTGGGAATTGGAATGATTTAGTTCACTACTTATCACTCTTAACGAATAAATTTGTCACGACCTTGTCCTGCCATGGCAGACAAAATGGTAGAAAAATGCTCCCATCGCAAATTTTGTTCAAATAGATGGCGGTTTAAATATGATACATAACCAACGCAGGACACTTCAATTTAATAAAGATGACGCGGGTCTCAATATTGCAGCAAAGAAGTCTTGTATGCTCCTCGCAAAATGACATCAGAATCGAAGAATCACAGTGAACTAATAATCGCGCGCTGGATTGTTCAAGAGATGTTAAGAGGCAGTTTATGATCTTGGGCGCCACAGCTGACGGTCAGGAGAGATTTGCTGGAACAATGTATAAGCTTCTTAACTAGTTAGGGGATTTAGTACCAGATGAGTCCGCAATCTAATCATGCCGCAACCTTGAGGCACATGACGGAGCTCTCATAACGATGGCCTATGAACTAATTTTCTACTGTGATCAGCCAGCAAGTATATCCTTCCCGCAGCAAAGCAGCAATGAGGTGCGCACAGCATGACCGTAGATTAGGTTGGGCACAACCGCCAAATCCCAACTAAACTTCACTAAATGTGGAAAGCTCTTCAGACCTTTCTCAATTTAACTTCCAAACAGTACAAATAAATTCTGAATATTGACTAGCACGTAATGCGGATCCCAAGACATGAAAACTGCAGATTTTACAAAAACACCTCAAGTTCTCAACAGGCAAAGAACATGAATGCCGCAGACATCGTCTGCATGGCATCAAAGCCTACTCCTGTAACATCACAACAGGGAAGGATTTCTAGATCTTCATTTGCTGACCTGTCCTCCCTTGACCCATGCACTCAACTGGATATGAAAAGTTGAACAGATGATAGATTCCATTTCGCTAGATAAATATGCCAAAATTACCAAAATAGTCGACGAAAATGTCCTCTACCACAACCTACTAATCAGTTAATAATACCCACCAATCAGGCAGTTAAAACAGGCCAAAGTTAAGATAACGATATCACAAGTTCTTTTTTTGGGGGGTGGGGTGTATGCAGGAGTAAGGAGCAGCGAATCTACCTCATTTGAAGATTCCACTGTCAAACCAACTCACAAAGCAGCTGTGGGTGAATTCTGCAGCCTCACATCTTGCAGCCAGTGCTTTGTTTGTATGAACAGATGAAATCATAGTTTCCCCTCCATGACCCACTTGTTGCATAAAACATATGATTAAAGCCATTGAAAGCAAGCGTGGGCGCAGAGAACATGCTGACCTCTGATTGTCAACCCAGATTTCATACCCAAGGATAAAGAATATTAGACAACAGAAGCCCAAACTCCATACATCAAGTCTAAAAGTTTCCACTCATGAAGCATCTCTCCCTTCCCCTAAAAAGTAGGATTGTGATAAAGATACATAAATAGGTGCTGTTCAGTCACCATGCACCTGACAACCACAGACGTAATAGCACAAAAACTAGAACACATAACATGGCCTTCAGTTTATTTGCATTGCCTCCGAATGATATTTCTCCAATTCAGCGTCAAGATCATCTGCAGACACCTTCTCTCCACGACCTCTTCCGCGTCCTCGGCCCCTCTGAAAGCCACTCTGAAAGCCACGTCCTCTACCTCCACCACGTGGCCTTCCAAACGCCCCACCTCTACCTTGTCCACTGCTCAAAAGACAGATTAAGGACACATAAGCTTTCAAACAAGGGAAGAAACTTGACAATCACAGGATTAACCCCTTCATGCAGACTAAAACATATCCTTAGGTAGAAGTAAAAGGAACTCAATTTCAATGCGCAATTCAAATTCCAGAGCCCAATGTAAAGCTTGTGGAGTAGAAAAACGAATTTACAAACGATGCAATACATTATATGAATTATCACAGTTTCCTCCCAATCCAATTATCTGAGAGATACTGCGACAGCATACGTGCATGCAATAACCACAAAAATGTTAGAAAGCCATCCAGGGTATTTTGGAATGCAAAAAGATAAAAAGCCTCACACTCTATCAGTATATTTGAGGTTCAGGGGAGCATTTTTTTGACTTTCAATATCTTATTTGGAATTCATAATCAGTATAGCCACCAGCCGTAAGTAGCAGTCTTTCAACAATCCAAAATCATTTGCTTATATCAATCAAGCCAGTACAAAAATTTCCATATCTCAACAAGCTTTAGCCATTCTGAAGTCAATAAATCACAATCATTCACCGATCCAGATTCACTTCCACAAAAAATGCTGACAAAACTATACCAATGAAGAGGAAGTTATTGACATGAGAAAACAACTTTAAGGATCAATAATTTATTCACAAACTTCCGGATCTCCATCTATCTTACATTTCATGATGAGAAGCAGATAAAATATAGTTGATTTTGTAAGATTAACAGCAACTAACAAAAAAAGAGAAGGTTCACAAAGGAAGCGTCCACCTCCTTTGACAATTCAATTTTCCAAGACTTCCAATTTCAAAAGCACATTCAGCAGTTAGAGAATCATCAAAATATTAAGGGGAGAAGTGCCTCGCTAATTCACTGACATAAGACTATTAGTCATCCAAAAAATCAAGGCTCTTCAAAAACTCAACAACTTCTGATAGAGCCCTTGGCACTATCAATACCACACCCCACACTTACCACCTAAATCAGTCTCAGGTGGCAACTTAAACTACTTTTTAATAACATAGACCCAACTATGAGTTTACTTCACCAAGACAAAGTTTCGTTGACGTAGTACATAGAAAGAAGAGGATGCACAAGGGACCCATTAAATAATCCTAGAAACATAACGAAGAAAAAAAGAGTACAATATTCTGGATCAATTCAACACCCTACAGCTGAAATAATCTCTGCTGAGTGCTGACAGTTAAAAAGTATAAAAGGACTATAATTAGGTTATTGGCAGCACAAGTGTCAAACCACACAGCTATTTCTATTTTAAAACATAATTTCTTTTTTCTCCAGTGAAATCATGTAAGATGGTTCAACCATCATTTGCAGCAAGCCCAAAAAATTCTGAACACTCACAAAATCAGAAACAAACATTAAAAAAGAACTTCCTCAGACATTCAAGCCAAAAAAATCTATACGCCACATGAACTGCTAGATGATTATAATATGCAAATACTCACATTCAGGAATTAGATAATTCAAGACAGGTCAATTAATTAATCCATGAATGAAATATTCATTAGTGAAGGGCATACATTCTAGGAACACCATTTGAATCTCCAACAGCTCCATTTGCAGCAGGAGCTGCAGCAGGTGTAGCAATGTTTGTCCCCACGATCTCTATCTTCATCGGTTTACCATCAAGTTGAACATTGTTGTATCTCTTCACTGCAGCTACAGCATCAACTCGTCGTGAGAAGACTACTTCTGCTGTACCCTGGAAAAGAATTTTATAAATATACATCAATACACAAGATTTAATCAGAAGGATCGAATATGGCTACTTGACAAAATACCTTTGACCTGCCACTCCTGTCGTAATGGATTGCATATCGCTTTAGGTCACCAACTTCAGAAAACAACTCCTGCAAAAATGCAATAAAAAATTTAAACATCACACATGAAATTGTTTCAAGTATCTCCACATTAAAATTTAAAATAAGAATAAGGTGAAAAATCAGAACACCAATGAAGCATTTCTACATATAAAATAAAAGACCAAAAACAATCAGCTAAGCCTTTATACAGATGAAAACTTCACAATTGTAGGATTCGTTTCTACAACGTAAAGAAAATTAAAAATAACTAAAAAAATCTTATCTAAATTCCTCTATTTTCGTTTCATACTTGTGAAGTTTGGATACTAATCCCAGCCAAAGTTTGAAGTCTCATCACGAATGCATTCATAGATGTATCAAAATTGAGATAGATTCAATTGAAGTCAAAGTGCATATATACAATCTATTAAATAACAAGACAAGAATGCATAGACTGAGTTCGTAGGTAAAGTCATATGAAACAAAGTCAAATAAAACACGATGTATAACCACAGCAAGAGCTGTTGTAAATTAAACATACAAAACTCAACTCTATCCAGAGGAAATTCTTCAGCTCTTTAGGTCGCAGAAAAGGAAAAAAAAAATCCATAACGATCTCATAAAATATTCAAGTTCAGAAAAAAAATAAAACGCGAAAAAAACCACCTGAAGCCTTTTTCACTCACACTGATGTAAAATTCAACGGCATGGGTCATGCCAAATCAAAAACCAAAAGCAATACCTTAATATCCTCGTTAGAAACACCGTAATCCAAATTAGATATGTAGAGCTTAGTCCCCGTTTCTATGGCAGACGCTCGACCACCTTGAGCTGCGTGCGGTGCCACAGCCTGATCCGCAAACATATCATGTTGCCAAGCCGCCTCTGGTGCCTAAACGCCGCAACAAAAGAAAAATCCAATCTGGTGTTAAAATGACATCACTTAACTTAATGAAACGTCAAATCGAAGGCACAAGGATTTTGATGTTCGCCGGAAAAAATCACTGACGCACCTTTGCAGTTGCATAAGGTGCTGCACGATTGGCGGCACGATTGGGGAAGCGGCGAGATGGACCGGGGCCAGATCCTCGGCCACGACCTCTGGAGTTACCAGATCCAGATTTCTTGTTTTTCTTGATGATATCATCAAGAGTCATATCCAGAGCTGCAGACATGACTGTTAACTTTCACCTTCAACACACGGAAACAGGAAGAGATAGAGATGGTTGGAGCTTGAAGAGAAAACGGACGGGAGGAGGAAGGTTAGGGTTCCCCGAAAGAGGCCTTCTTGTGAGCGGAGGGTAATAAAAGAGGCAGCACGGTCTTATTAGCCGCTAGGAAAAGAGCGGAGCGGAAACATGCAGCATATTATCATAATATAGAAAACTTGTGGCAGAGGAGCTTCATCATGCTGCGGTGGAATAGTTGGTTACCACGTATGCTCAACGCATTCATTCAAAGACGAGAGTTCGAATCCCGTTAGGCCTCCCTCCGCATTTATTTTTTATCCTTTTTAGACCGAGGAGTCTTCAACTGCTCCCCCAAAGACAGGCTCTTCCTTTTGGGCCTATTTTTAATTTTAAACTGCGTTCAAACCTAGTTATTTATGGTTAAGCTGCGGCGTTCCAGATTCAAAGAGATCCGAGATGTATTCAACTGCTTCATTTAATTTGGACTTAGGCTTAATTTTTTTCCCCTGTGCTATAGCTAACTATTTGAGTTTGCTTAAATTATCACATATCAATGTGTGCATCAAATGTTTCGAAGATCACATAATTCATATAAACAATTTATTTTTTAAATTGTGTGCAACGCTCATATATGATTGAGATGAAAATCTAAGTGTCAATTAACTTCATTCAGTCTAGTTAATTTTTAATTTTACGGAACAACGTGCAAGATTGAGTTTCATGCTATACCAAACAAACCAATAAATCCATTCACTTTTCTTTGAATTAATATGTCAAAACTCCCTTTCAACTTTTTTAATATGTCCTGATTCATTTTAAGGATTTGATGCTCCATTGAATTTCTTGAGTCAGATGAAAGTATAATCTTTAATTAGGTTAATGTAATTTTTGGTTCTTCAAGTTTTAAACTATATGTTTTGGTCTTAGATAGTTTAAATTTTTATTAAATTATAGGAATCAATACTTTAAACAAAATGAAATTCGAGGAACCAATATTAAAATGAAAACAAACTTAAGGGACTAAAAATTATATTAAATATTAATCCTCCTTAATAAAATGGTATTTAATGTTTCCTTCGAATTTTAAAATCACGTATAAACAGGGCAAAATCTATAAAAGTGAGGATCAAAAATAAATGAAGGCAGTTTTTTACTCCTGACTTCTCCCTGGGCTAATTCATCCCAGTCACCTGGTAATAAGCCAAAAATTGGCAGCTCACGTCAACACCAACTCAAGATTTGAACACTAAATTGAATCAAACTTTCCCAGTTCTCCTCTGCGATTGAACCTCTGTCAATATCTCCACGACATTCCATATTAGCATCCTCTTGAATGCCTTGTGACGTAAAAGGATGATAGATCTTTTTTTTTTTTGGGGGGGGGGGGGGGACGAAACAACGAAGGAATATAAAAAATCAACGAACTTCAGTTTAACCACGTCATGAGTTCACTACCAATGAGGGTTCAGGTTTTTTTTTGGGGGGGGGGGGAGTATAATTAGGCTAATACCGATTTGGGCATAATCGTCAGAGAAATACAGAGGTTAAAGAGGATTTGTAACAGACGAAACCTCAAGCAAACGGATATATTTTCTGGTGATTTACCCAATCCAAAATTTCAGCTCATCAAGCTAAGTTAACCCAAAAGATAGAAACAAAGAAGGCTGTGTCGCGCGCCTTTCTACAAGGCCAGAGAACGAAGCAGGCAAGTCGAAGCACCAACAACCAAAGTAGCAAACAACGTTGGCAAGAAAAAATCCAAGTGGGACCGAGTGATCACGGCGTGTTCCGGAAAACACACCGTCTCTCCGGGAAATTGCAGAGGAATCTCAACGCCAGCACCACCAGCACAAGGCGATAAGGCCAGAGTAAATGCAATTCCGGGAGCCAAAGACGCGAGAACCACCGTAGCGACCAAGAGAAGGGTCCACACGGCGGCGCGGAGCAAGGGCGAGGATCGCCGAAAAGCTGAAGGAAAGCGAAAGACGTACATGAGGATGAAATGGTGGCGGTAATTGTGAGGACGAAGATGGAAAGACACAGAAGGGAAATATGTGAGTATTTGTGAGTGGGGTGGGGGAAGACGGAGAAGGTGGAGGCACGTCTAACAGATTGGTCAACTCTAATGACATAGGTGCGCATTTGTGATGGCTGACGGACCAATTCATTTGGACCTTTTGAAAAGGGCTTGCGAAATTAACTGTGATTCGCGCATGATACGTGCCAAATGGCCAACCAGTTTGGCAGCAAGTGATGACCCCCCAGACTCAGAAGATCTAAACCGTTAAAATCTTATTTGGACGAGTTAAATTTATTTTTTTCTTTTTATATATTTAAAATAATTATTTTAATAAGAATAAAATCAAAAATAAAGACAATCATTTAATTATTATCTTTTTCAAAAAAAATTTATTTAAAAATAATTAATTAAAAATTTTAAATTTAGATTGTTCAAATCATATTTGAACAGACCAGATCTGATGAATTTATGATACTCATCATCTTAACAGGGATCCAAACAGCTTTTGAGGGGGCATAGTTTCTCACCGTATGCCTTTGCAAAATCATTATAAACCTATTATTGCACTTAATTATCATCTTAGTTTTAGACGATGTTTGGAAGAAACACTTTTCCGCAAAACAAAGCAAACTCCTTCACATATGTACTTTGTATACCGTAAAAATACTTTTAAAACCACAATTTGATTTTCATCTAAATACCCTTTTAGTAATACTATTCCAATTACTCGTGCTTTTAAGGTAAGATTTAGTTATGTAAAGATTGAAAATAATATTTGTGGAGTTAATTTTACTGTAAGCCTACTCCCAAGTACTTGATTCAACCAGCAAAAGATTGTGCAAACTTGACCAAAAGTCTCAACAGTATTAAATACTTGGTGAGAGTTCTGTTAGATCGGAAGCTCCGTCTATTGAAAAGAGCCCTTCATTATAAATCTCTTGATACATTTTGAATGATTGTGACCTCCGAAAAATAAAAATAAAAAAATAAAAAAAGGTTCCCCCAGGTGGATCATACATCCATCCCCGGATAGATTCAATTGGGTCCAACAGGGAAGACAGCGTCCTTGAAGATGAAGTGGCTTTACCCGTCTTCTCTCAAGTTCATGGAGTGATTCGTTTATGAGGCTTCGAACATGTAAGGGCATAATATCTTCAACTTTCCGAGCTCTGGAAGATGACATTTGCACCGAGATATCCAGAGCCATTAGCTGGCTTAAGCGAACAGCTTCCTCCAAGAAATTCACTTGACACGAGTTATTCTTCTTCGTAAAATGTTGATCACGAAGTATCTATAGTAGTTTAAAATCGAAAAATAAGTCAAGCATAATAAACGTAACGGATAGAGCCTCAGAACAATTTGGTTCTGGTCTGCTGAAATATCACAATCGTTCTCAACAAATTCGAAGACAATGGTTTGACTCGCGAAAGGAACCCATAAAATACGACCTACAAGGTACAGCACCGAATTATTCTCAATAGCTGCAATATCACGCCACCAAAAGATGAATTAAAATCGATGTGATTTCATTCAATGAGTCAATGTGACGATTACATCACAGGGGCTACTACATTTGAATTTGAAATGCTTTGATACCTTTTGCTAAAGCATAAGCCTAATCGCAAATTTACATCACAACCAAAAGGACGAATGGTCTAAAAATAGAATCAAGCTTTCTTGGGGGACTTGGTAGCTTTCGATGGAGACTTGGGCTCTTTAGTGGCCTTGTCCGTCTTCTTGGGCAAGAGCACTGGGTTAATGTTGGGGAGAACACCACCATGAGCTATAGTCACACCCGCAAGCAACTTTCCAAGCTCCTCATCGTTCCTCACCGCGAGAAGAACATGCCTGGGGATTATCCTGTTCTTCTTGTTATCACGAGCTGCATTTCCAGCCAGCTCCAAAACCTGCACCCCATGTATAAATAAATGAATCAGTCACAACGAAATTGTCCAAATTCGGTCCAATCATACAAGGATAGGACCATCATTGAATGTTTCAAAAATGCCTTCCCTTCTTTCCAGATGAATTAAGATTCAAGCCAACATATGGTTGCAGATTTTCAGAAATTACAGAACCCATATGCTGCGCATTGGGATATCGCACATTACCAATGGCGCTATCCAGAGATCCACCGTCAGTGGAAACTGGAATACCACAAATCGATCAAGAAATTAAAGAACATAATTACCTCAGCTGCTAAGTACTCAAGGACGGCGGCCAAGTAGACTGGGGCACCAGTTCCAACACGCTGTGAGTACCTTCCTTTCTTCAGATAACGACCAATTCGTCCGACGGGAAATTGAAGACCAGCCTTAACGGACCTGGACACTGGCTTCTTCTTGGGACCACCACCTTTTCTTCCTCCGGCACCCTTCTTCACCTTCGCAGTTGAATCCATTGAATTGAATCCTACTATTTTCGCCGGCTAGAGACAAGAAAGATTTACGGAGAGCTAAATTTGTATGACTGGAGCGAAGTCAGAATTTGATGGCAATAACAGGCGCGGAGCCGCTGATTTATATAGAGCTTTTGAGACTAAGGATGTCCAAGCGAGCGCAGCCTGAACGTTGGATTAAGAATTATCGACGGCTTCGATGTTTTGTACACGTATCCGCGTCATTTGAATTGAGCCAATAGTAATCGATTTTATTCCCTTCTCTGTTTTCTTCGTTATTTCTTTTTTTTCATGGCACGAACTGTTCTTGGGGTTTGAACAAATCGTGCATGGGGTGAGGCTCGTCACATTATTCCTGATTTATCATGAATTATTTATATATTTTTTATTATATATAAAAATATACTGGGAAAAATCAATTTCTAATGCTTCAAACATCAGTACTTTTTTAAGTGCATCTAATATTCTAAAATATTTTATCATATATCCAACATTTTAAAGTATTTTTTTTAAGTGTGTCTAACACTATAAGGTATTTTTTAAGTGCGTCCAACACCCAGAAATATTTTTCTTTATATTGGTATCAGACGCACCACAAAATATGTTAGGTTGTTAAACGCACCTAAAAAAAATATTTTGAGGTATTAAAAGTATCAAAAAATACTTTATAGTATTGGACGGGTCTAAAAAATATTTCAGACTGCTGGATATATCATAAAATACTTTGGGTACTCAGTATACCCAAGAAAATGCTTTGTGGTGCTCACCTTAACCCATATCAATTCAGTGATTGGACACATTCTCTTAATATTAATATGTTTTTTTATTTTTAAGTAGGGTGAAAAAAGGTTGGGCTGTATTTTGGTCAAATGAGCCTATGAAAACTCTTAAACTTCATCCTAATCCTATAGGCCAATTTTTTTAAAAACCTTGGAATTATTTGAAATATGTTTAAAAGCCTACTTAAAATTAGGAGTGTGTGAAAAATCTGATGGACCAATTCAGTCTAGTGTAAATAAATAATCTAACAAAAACATATCAATCTAGTTGGTCAGGCTAGACTGAGTTCAGGACCAAGTTGTTAGACTACTTGGATTGGTCCTATATGGTCCAAGTGAATTTTTTTAAAAAAAAAATATTTTGTAATTTAGAATGTTATTTTTTATTGTCATTTGATATTGTTAGAAATTCTTATGAATTTATGATTGAGTCTTAATATTTTGGGATAATTTTTATATGATTATGGATTTTTTTTATTTTGCAAATTATGTTTCTTAGTATGAAATTTTAATTCCATAAAGGAAAAAAAGGGTTAAGACCATATCGGTCTTTTAAGTTGCTCTCATTTTGGTCTTGGTTCCTTAAGTTTCTTTTCATTTATAATATTGGTCGCTATAATCTAATAAGAACTGAACTATTTTGCCCATTGGGAGACCACAGCCCATAATTTGAAACTTGATGAACCAAAATCAAAATGAATGTAAACTTAAGAAACCAAATATTATATTAATGCAAAAAAAATTTTAAAAAGAAAAATTAACGTCCTGGACTATTTGGATTGGTCCAAGTAGTTCGGTGGACCAACTATTGTCTAACCTGATCTTAGGTCACAACTAGACTGGACCACGGACTGTCAAACCCAACTCGACCAAAAATAAGACCAGACTTTTGGATTGGGCTCTGGTTTGTCCATTCTATACCCCTCCTTAAAATGTAAGCTTTGAATAGGATTAAAAAATCATGCCTCCAATCACAAATATGATCCTTCAAATCTTAATTAAAAACTACGTTAAGTTGCAAATAGGTTTTAAAGCTATAAAAATATTACCTATGATTTAATTATTTAAATAATTACAATAAAATAACAAAATTTCATTCACTGTAATATCCCATAAAAATTCAATACAATTATATGTTTACGATGATACACCTCCTGACCAGGTTTCTTATTGTCTATCTTACTAGACCTGTGATCCATTTCCAAATTCGAATCAAACCAACTCTCTCGATTGATAAATTGAAGCTTGCACTTTGTAATGTCCTCCTTTTAAAGTTACATGGATAGAGCTGTGATTTTCTCAACGTCGTCGCTGAGGTCTCTTGAGTTCATACACAAACAAGACGCAGCCAATAATTAGACACAAGGGAGATCGGGTTTGCAAACACATATGGCGCAAAAATTTGTATGAATTTTGAGAGATGTGAGTCTCTGAGATCCGTAACCCTTGGAGGCGTTCTACACCACACCGCTACTCTCCAATCATAAATCACCATATATGTTCACACACTCAACTATTTTGACGAGAAGTGAGAGATCTCCAATTCTCTGTAGTTTCAACCACGGTGAGGCAGCTTCCACAACTTCCAGAATTGGAGCAGAACACACAAGAATGGTGCACATATATGGACATAACGCTTGAGGTTTTTTTTTTTTTTTTTAAATAAGAATGAAGTATTTTAATTCAAGGCTTCCAGATAAACCGTCAAAGTGCAGAATATCCGCCTATTGATGTTGGCCATGGAAGTAGTTTAGTTTAGGTGCTTATCGACAGTAAAAAATCTCATACAAGATATAAAAACCGCAGAGGCAATGAATTTGTTCATTAGTTTGCTAAATCTACTCATGAACTAAATATCACATTTGATCATATGTTTTTTTTAGTTCTAGAGTGAAAAATATCTTAATGTATGTGACGTAGGTAATTGCGATTTATATTTGGGAACTTATCCACTTTTAATATTTCCTTGACTTTCCAAAATATTACAATTTCATCGTTGAGTATCAGTAACACAGGTCTGTTGAAGTTGCTTCCTTGCAAAATGGCATGGAACGGGATCTGAGATCATTCATCGGGTTTTTGTTTTTTAATGGAAAAAAGTTACAAAAGCAGTGTAGTTGATAGAATTTGCGTCAAGCCAAATTCAGAGGATCCATAACTTCCATCGTAGCAGGGCTATATCCATTTGGGGAAGTTCCAGTGACAACATTAAGCATAAAGCGATTTTTTTTTTTTTTGCCCACAAGTGTAAAACGATTTTGATCATTGAAGTTACAATATTTAGGAAGCTTAAACGTGGATAGTTATGTTTGTCCGTCATTTTCGACTGACCGGATTATGTAGACCGAAAGGACGCGCTAACTGCTATCCCAGAGGCCAGAGCCCCTCGCACGGTTCATTTGACGAGAATTGAAAATGGAGAGAAGCAAAATTTTCCACAAATTTTGAATAAAATATTTTAATTTAGTTCTGTAGTATGGAAACTATGTTGGAATGGAAAAGAACAGATGGAACAAAAAAATTATGGCTGCATAAAAATTTCAAAATAAAACATATTTTCCGAATTTTTTTATCAAACATTTTTTTCCAAATTGGAACAATTAAAAACTTATTAGCTTCTCATTGAAGCAATAGAGTGCCTGGTTTAAAAAAAAAAAAAAACCCAAAAGCAATAGAGTGCGTCAATCCAGGGTGCTGGGATAGGATGTGCTAACAAGAGCCTAACACGAGCGGCAGGTCCGAAATTTTAAATGGTTTGTCACAGTTACATAATTTAGATACAATTTATTTAAAATCAATTTTCCATTTTTCATTTTACTTTCTCTTTTTTTGTTTTTGGAATTTGGAATCAAAAGGCAAGAAAACTTGAAAATTACATCAAAGGACAGAACCTAAATAACCGGGGAAAGCAATAAATCCTAAACCTAACGAAGGTCTCTTTTATTTTACTTTCTGAAACCATAAAACAAGCCCACATTCAATAATCAGGTACACCATATGACATATTTGTTGGGTGAATTTTATGTACAGAAAAAGACAGTGCAACGCAAAATCCAAATGATAAAACTGAAGTGGCCCCTTCGGCCTGGCCTTTAATAACCCAAAGGAAAAATTCCTCAGCAAACCTTCGAGGATGAGGGGACCAACTCATCGGGAATATCAAAAGTAAAACACTTTACTTTTAAAGAAAATAGAACAATTTCGAGTTTCAGGAGATTACTCTTATTCCAGACTAACAAACACATCAGTTAAAAATTAAAAAAGAAATACACAAAAAGATCATAGTGATTAATCGTCGAAAATATATAACATTCCAGATAAACTATGATTCTAGCTAATCCATATATCATTGAGGGACCATACCAACATAATAAGAATCTATACTCCTAAATCTGCCATCCACAAGAAGCTTCAATTACAGGCCTTTAACCCAAAAGAAGAACAGCAAAGAAAAAGCCACTACTAAACTTAAACCTAAATTTACGGGCAATCGATATCTGAGACTTGGTTTAAACGTCAACACACAACCCAATTAACCACCAGATTTAGGAACTTGTGAATTTGGTCACCGCCTTGGTGCCTTCGGAAACAGCGTGCTTGGCAAGTTCTCCGGGCAACACCAGCCGAACCGCCGTCTGGATTTCCCTGGAGGTGATTGTAGGCTTCTTGTTATAACGAGCGAGCCTAGATGCCTCTTGAGCGAGTTTCTCAAAGATATCGTTGATGAAGCTGTTCATGATACCCATTGCTTTGCTGGAGATCCCAATGTCCGGGTGGACTTGCTTGAGGACCTTGAAGATATAGATCTTGTAGGTCTCGATGCTCTTCTTGTTCCTCTTCTTCTTCTTGTCTCCGGCAGCGGCCCCACCTTCCTTCGGGAGCTTCTTTCCAGCCTTGGGCTTCTTCTCGGCCGGCGGGGCTTTCTCGGCCACCGTCGACTTCTTCTCTTCGGCGGGCTTCTTCTCCGCGGGCTTCTTCTCGGCCTTGGGTGCCATTATAGGATGTGAGAATTCAAGAATTCGAAGAGTTAGGGTTTGAGATCAGACAAGGGCGATTGAAGGGATTGGAGTGTTGATGAGGAAATAGGAGGTGGGGTGATAGATATATAAAAAATTGTGCGATTCTGATTGGCTGAAAGGATTTCACGCGGATCGGTGTTTTGGGTCTTCTGAATCCGTCAAATAGTTTCCTGTAAGAATGACTGAATGGACGGCCATGATGATTCGATGGAGGATATTGGATGTGCGGATCGATGATAAAGCTGGGACCCTGTCCGTTGATGCCCTCTTGATGAGACGAGCGACTTTCGATATGAGTTACGCCTTTCTTTCGCGGAGATATTTTTTCAAAAAAAGTTTTAATGGCGTCTTTGATTGTCCTTTGGGGCCAACCAATGACCTTGCTCTGTAGTCTATAGAGCTCGTTCTAACGGACGGACGGTCACTCCCTCAAAGTCAACAGGGCAGCTCGCGCTGTTAACTCCTTTTAATTATTTAATAAAATATTTTTGGTGTTTAGTTTATTTTAATTTAACCTTTAGTGTTGATGTTATTATAACTTGTTCTCTAACTACTTAAACATGGTCCTCCCTTTTTTTTTTAATCCTCACACCATTGAAGTGATTAGAACTAAGGTAGTAAAATTACATATTTTGAGTCGTGAAAGAAAAAAAGTGAGACTGTGCTTGAAAAAATATCCTTTTAATCCTATTTATAAGGTAAAAAAGAGTAGTAATTTTTTGTCATATTTATATGACAAAAAAATATTTCATATGAACATATAATTTTAATTTCATTTAATACCGTATTGACTTTGTTTCAATAGGACACAATATATATTACATAGTGATAAAGTTAAAAAGTTGTTAAATTTTAAATAAGAGTTAATAAAATTTAAAATTTATTTAATTTATATAAAACAAATTTAAAATGGCTTACGAATAAAATCGGACTAGGTTGTATTACATTTCAGAAGCATACCAATTCACTTATGCCCCCGCTGTAATTACGTGTATTATGGATTAGGACTGTTCACGGGACGAATCGGGACCGGTACAAGCCCACCCCGATGAACAGTAATGGAGCAGATTTTCTGTCTCGTGTCTCGTCCCGTCCCGGTGTTGTCCCAGTTCCCATCGGGACGAGACTAGGACGTCTCGATATTTTTTTAAATTTTTTTAATAAAATCTTATTTTTTTCTTAATTGTAGGTTTTTGGGCTTAGACCTTGTAAAAACATCTTTTTGTTTTCTTTTTTATTTCTTTGGGCACCCTTAAACAAAAGCCCAAAATATTACATATAATAATCATTAAAAACTCTAAACAAAAGCTTTTAACACAATAAAAACTTGTTAGAAATTCTAATCATCAACAGTCTCAAATCATCAACAAATATAAAAGCTCCAAAAAAATATATCCATAATTCTATATAATAGTCTCAAATCTTAAAAAAATATGAAAAAAATGATATTATATAAATGGGATAAAAAAAAAATATATCCATAATTCTAATAATAGTCCGGGACTGAAAAAAATGGTTGCGAAACGGACCGGGACTCGGTCTCTTTTTTTTGTTCCATCCCTGTTTGTTCCATTCTAAAAAATTTCAACATAAACCGTCCTGTCCCAATAAGGTCGGAACCTGAAGGGCGGCCTTTGAACACCCGTATTATGGATGGCCGTCTAATTGTCCAAAGATGCTTCACTTTTTTTTTCTTTTCTTTTTGGAATAAAACCCAAAGATGCTTTTCTGCCTTTTTATTAATTATTATACCCCCGGCATAGCCCATAGAACGTTACCTTGCGTTGATGGGAAAGCCTTGATGTCAAATACGCGTGCCTCTGCTGGTAAATAAACAAAAGTAGAGCACGAGAGGCAGGCCTATGATTTTTTTCAAAAATAAGATTTATCAGATATGTTCCTAAAATAGAACCTGATAAATTTTCAAAAAAATTATTCAAGATTCGTATTTATCAAATATGTTCCTGAAATAGAGACCCTCAGAATCTGAACAAGGCGGGGACAAGAGGAAACGCACAGTTGGAGGGAAATTATGAGCCTGGAAGAATAATTACGGATGACGCAGATGGCATTCGGTTGGCAGCCAAAAAAAGAAAAGAAAAAAGATGGTATTCGAAATAAAATTGATGATTTCATCTATTAAATATGAGATTAATTTGAGAGTTATCGTTTCGTTATACATTTCAGATTTAATTTTCTTGTCTCCTATATTAATTATTTTTTATTATGGTATCCCTATTTGTTGGAATAATTTTATTTTTTGCTTATTAAATTATCATTATTGTTTTAATTGATTTTTATTTAGATTGTGTGAATCAGATGAAATAACTGATGAAGTCTCTACTGAATTGCGCCCATTTCTTTCTGGCGTCAAGTTATTGGAACTGGCTAGTGAAGAAACATCAAATGGGCCGAATTAAAGTTCCCAAAACACAATGAGACGCATGTTAGAAGATAAACAACAATAAATCTTATTCTACTAAATAGAATGGCCATATGAATCAAATAACTCCAATGAAGCTTGATTTAGTAGAAGATACTAGTTTCTCACAGCATGATAAATCAAAACTTAAATTTTATTAAAAGATGTACTCACATTTAATAAATGACAGTGTTTCAAATAGAATTAATTGATGAGAAAACAAAAAAACTCATTCCAACCCGTGAAATTTGGTGTTTTAAGATTTTTCATGACGTGATCATCTCTTTCTGGTTCCCATGAATCCCGTTGGTACAAAGTATTAAAAACAAGGAATAGAGACTATGATTGCAATTGAAAAAAATTATTAAAAATATATTTAGCATGAATAATTGCTTGTTATATAGGATTAGATAAATCCATAGTGATGGAATTGAAGGATATCATCATGGGTTTATCAAATCCTATATAATAAGTAATCTCTCGTATTAAATATCTTTTTAATAAATCTTCTCAATCTCAATAATAATTTCTATCTTTCATTTTCATGTTTTTTAACAAACGGGACAATGGCTCCTGGGGTCACGACGCCTTGCCCGCAGCAAGATTCTAGGCATGCGTGGGCTCCGATCGGAGCGGAAGGGCCGAAGTGGGTTTAATGTGACGGGGGACATGTTGGGCTTCGAACGCAATGTTGTGATGTCCAATCATTTCAGTTTAGAGGCCGAGCTGCTTCTCAATATGCGACTGTCCCCATACCACACGTACCCTATAATTTTTTGTTATAAACATCATATTTTTCAACCAGAAATATAAATCTCATATCTCTGCATGTTCTTGTACTTTTTGTTTCTGTAATATTTCTGGTTCTTAATATAAAAATTAGTTTGATTTTTATTTTGATTTTAAATATAAGACTTCAATCTACGTTGTCCCTCACATTTATTCATTTTTTTCAATGTAGACCTTGTAGTAGCTACACATGTTAAAAATTTAATCAAATAATTAGTTTTAGCTAATACATGATTAATAAAAGTATTTTATGAAAGACAACACCTAATTATTATAAAGAATTAACTCAACAAACTTTCTTAATTTATTCAAATTAATTAACTAACTTTTATATTAAGGATTCAAGGTAGTACAATTTAAAGTTAATGAAATCCTGGTTAGTGTAACACGGTATACCTAATTAACCTAGAAAAATGATGACCCTTTGGCTACCAACTTTAATTAACTGAACGATCACTGCTGAAACAAGGAAGGTTTGGTTTACGACCACGAGACGAGAGCGTCGCTTTGGTTGTTGAAGAACTATTCCCCAACATCTTAATTTCAATGCTTCGAGATAGCATTCATGTCGAGGTTGTTAAGAGGGAAATGGTTTCAATCCCCTCAGCGCATTGCAATTAAAGATCAAATTTGTTAATTCAGATTAATAACTTCAAAAAAGTACAAATTAACTTTCATAATCTGATTTGAATTACTCGGGATCGTAATGGAAACACAGTTGGAAGAAAACTCAAGGAAAGCTATGATGTTTGAATTTGATCAAATTTTGACTACATCATTTCCGCACGCCACCGAACATGTAAGAATCACAAAATATGGCAATAACGATGAAATTTCAGTGCTCAAACTGATACTGATCAAAGGTATTTCCAAACTTGATAACCAGGCATTAGCTAAAACCAGAGCCTAAAACAAAGCATATCTGAAGAAGGGCGTCCGGTGACTGAAATGAAAAAGAATGGATCCTGTCATCACAAGACGTTTTCATCGAAGAAGCAGGAACATCGGTACATAACAAACCTTTCATTATTGGCATTGTTCTGGGTAGCTTCTGAAATCTCGACAATATAAAATATGAAAATGCCAGAAAAAAGAGGCGACAAAAATTGCAAAATAAAGGACACATTCTGCAAGACAAATACTATGAATCTCCAGCAAGCAAAGATAAAATTAACTGCCTCAATATATCAATTGTTCCTGGAACTGCGTACATAATATAGGCAAGAACTTAGAACCTATGCTGTCTCCTGCAACGATAACTAATATGGAGACATGGGTAAGGTAGAATCATATATATATATATATATATATTGTCTCATACATACTTGTTCCTAGAGGAAGAGAATGCCAAAGGATGTTAAGTTGCCCAAATGATGGAACAAGCCCAGCGACTTGCAATTATCATTTGCTGGAGATAATCAAAGGCTCTGTATCTTCTTCTTCAGCTTCTGGGCCTTCAGCATCGTTGATCTTGCAACTGCAAGCTCTGGCCGCCATCACTTCGTTCATAAGGAACTGAGATTGAACACTTGACAGACAGATTATGAGGACTGAGAGAGAACAAGGGAAGGAGAGTTCTGTGAGATACAAAGAAGAAGAAGGCATTATTTTGTTTTCCCCTTTTGGGGGTTGTGCGGTGGGAGGAGAGTATCTTCCTCAGCATATACCTGCAGCATTATCTCGCTGGCCCATATTCTTTTTTTCCCTCCCTTTATTTTCGCTTATGCTTTTGGCATCTTTTTCCATGAATTATTATGTTATTGTTATTGTATTGTTGAACATGGATTTATACAAGATATACCTTAAAATCAAAGTGGTTTTGTTTATTCTTCTCCCTTTTCAACTCCAAACCTGTGACAGCTTGGAGAGATAAATGTGTTCACACCAATATGACACCCTAATGTCGCCATTTTTCAGTTAAATTCTATTTTCAAAGACAGGATAAGGACAAAATGAGCAACATCACAACATTCGTCCTGCTCAGTAAATTGGTAGGGTCATTCACATTGTCTATGCATTCTTTTTTTAAAAAAAAAAAAAAAAAAAAAGCTCCGTAGTCAGTACTGTTATAGGTGATTTACTTTAAAAAGGTTATACTTATTTGTATTAAATTGAACTTCTTGATAATCGTACCTTTATGTATTCATCGATCATATGTAGCATCTAAATAGGAGATTAGAAGCACTCAACATTTTTTTCCCATCTTTTTTTTTTTTGTCTTTTTCGAAAATCTACCTGGGGCTATGTTTTTTCCCGTACAATTATCGGGAAAAAAATTCATAAATATAATCAAATCAATAATAAATAAAGATATACATTAAACGAGAGGGATTGAGTCAAGACTCATGAAAAGGGGTTAAATTTATCGAAGAATGTCTATAATAGCGAAACTTACATCAACATTTTTCCGCTAACAAATAAAACCAATAGCAAGAAGAATATTAATATTCTGCATGACTGAGATGAATAATCATCAAATACACTCAGAAAACTCTTGCTGGAAAAAAAAAACAAACAGAAACAGATAAAGCGTTAACACGATTCATCAACAATATTACTGTCTCTAATAATCACCTTAAATACTCTAGCTCGAAAAGTTAGCTGCGTATAAACGTCCATCAACATTGAACTTACCATGACACCTCAAAGGAAAATGCTACCTGTGCCAACAACTGAACTGCCATAGATAATATCAGAATTCTGGAATGGCCAAAATGTGCACAACATTGTGCATAGAGACTATCGAGCCAAGATGACAAATTTCAAATACGCCTTCTAAAACTTCCATAGACACGAGCTGGAAAACAACCCAAAAAAAGGCCACAAATTAACTTTATTAATAGTTTAATACCGTCCGGAGAGGAAAAAAAAAAAGAAAAGAAAACTTCATTAATATTCTGTTCTCTTATCTTGAATGTGAGATCCTGATTAACTAGAAGACAATTTTATTGCTTTGAAGGGGGAATTTCATACGTCATCAAGCATGCTAAAACTACTTAAATTCGAACCATCATTCGAAATTGAACAAATCTCCAGCAACAGTTGAATCCCTGTGCACCTGTCAGATCAATGTACTCAGGTGGGATGAGGTAATTAACTCCTATGTTCCTCTTTCTGTCTCTAAAATAAATTCGAATGATCAATTTTGGGCCGTCAGTTTTGCGGATCGAACCTCCAGTAGTCATCAAATAGCAGATACCCACTCTTTCTTAACAATTCAGCAGCTAATCATGTGAGGAACAACTGTATGCCACTAATTCACTATCAACATTATTGAGCAAAAGCTACCAATTTAACGACCACTAATCGGAATATGTCACGTAATTTAAAAACCAAAAATCATAGTATGAAATATCATGATGTATCTTCATGTGGAACATTTTGCAGCATTAATTATTAATTAAATTCGAAAAATCTAACACTCTTCATTAATAAAGGTGCAGGAAAAAGGAGCAAGTTGGTAACCAACGTGACGATGGACTAGTGCTAATTTTGAGATCGACAAAGGTTGTCAGTGGGAAAATGCGTGGCGTTCAATTTTAAATAACTTGCTTTCTCTTCATGCTGGAAGACAAAAACCCGAATCAGTAGCAATTCAATAGATTGGTTAATATGCTAGTAGCATACGTGGAACGAAGGACCAACACAACCCGCATATTTAATTGACCGTATATTATAAAGAAAGCAATTCATCCTCATTTATGTCATTGAATGATCAATACAATTCACCTCTCAGTGTAGATGTAATATAATATTCTAGAACTTGATTGCCACATAGGACTCTTCGCTGTCTTTTTGTGTCCTGTGCGCTCTCTTCCAATGAAGAATCCGCCTAAAATTACAATTAATCAATTTACAGTGTTCCAGAAGGAGAAGTTTCCTTAACACGAAAGAAAGACGAACTGGTCTGTAATGGGGCGCTGTCTCTGGTTTAGTCTTCTGCGAACTGGTCAAAACGTTGTCCTCCAAAACTATAAACGTACTTGTCTCTCATGATGTTCCCATCCTTGCGGAGAAGTAGTCACATTCACAGTGATTGAGGAATCTTTAACCGCATCGCCCAGATTTCTTCCATTAAACTGATTATTTGTTATGAGAGGAAATCCGTTGGATTTTGCGGAGAAACAAAGGAAAAAATATTTTTTATAATTCAGAGTATCTTTAAGTCATTTAAACTTGAGATTAATTTTTGTCCTCTTTGCAGGATGAGACCTCTTATCATTTTAATTAATAAACCCAAGAGCTTGTTGGTGAAGGACAGTATATTTGTAATATGAACAAAACAAAGCTGTGAATATGACGTTTTAACTCAAATATGTCATTTTCGTCAAGCCATGCATGTCTAATCGAAGCAAAAGTTTGAGCTCGACAATCATTATCAATAGGCATATCTTCGTCATACTACCGGGGTTAATAACTTGTTAAAATGTCACGTGTTCTATTAATCTAAAATCTAAAAATAAAAGGATGTCTAAAAAAGGATGATTGGAAGATATCCTCCTAAATAGAAGGTCCATAAACTTAGTTTGCTCGATCAAAAGATAAACCTAGTTACTTTTTTTTTTTTTTTTGCCAGCCCATAAACTTAGTTACCAAGGAATATATTTAACAGCGTTATGCAGAATTAATTTTTCACCCTTTAAACTCAGTCTCGACCGTCCAAAAACCAAAATTAATAGAAACTTGGTCGCTAAGGAATATATTTATTAGACAGTTAATTTCAGACGTTATTAACTTTCCTACGAGTTTTGTGGAAACGAATGAATGAATGAATAGGCCAGCTGGCTAGGGGGATGCCAACTCATTCAAAGAACGCCAGTTTTCTAACGCTGCCCGTCCCCAGATTTTATATTTGCGACCTAGAGACACTATTTAAAGGGCGCGTCCTTTCAATTTTTAGGAATAAATAAATGATGATGATACTAACGGTTGCTTATCACGGTTTGAGACGAACAGAGGGCTAATTTGCGAGTTGCATAGAGAGGAATAGCAATCAGCTTTCAGCAAATACTGTGCCATTGTTCAGATCTTAGCTATTTTCTCGCTGCTCTCAAATCTCTCTGTCACTCAAAGTGCTAGCGTGCGCACCTGAGGCGTATGCGCATAGCAGCAGAAAGAGGTGAAATAGGCAGGGGAAGTGCGCATTTTAGCGAGTCCACCATCATCGTCGTCGGAGCTTCGAGGTCCAAGATTGTAAACGAAACTTCGGGTTGTCAGTTGTCACTTTACTGTCGTGGTCCGGACAAAAACAAGCACTGCTCCTTCTCTCTCCAAACCTCTAAGGCCCTCACTCGTGAAGTTTGAAGATCCTGCCCCCCCGCTCGCTTTCGTCCACCTCTGCATTCTGATCTAGTAATCCTCTCTCTCTCTCTCTCTCATTCTGTTCTTGTTAATGGGGGAGAAATATTGAAACAATTTATGTGCGTTTCTCGTTTTTGGATCGTAATGCAGAAACTGCACAGGAATACTATCTTCGTTTGTTTTGCTAGAAATTAGTCGATTGATCTGAAGTTGATGGCTGCTCCACCGGCAAGGGCTAGTGCGGATTTCGATTATCTCATAAAGCTTCTTTTAATCGGCGACAGTGGTGCGTGACTCTTCATCCTCTCTCCGATTTGGTCTGAAAACATTGAGAGTTGTAATGCCACAAAGCTGTTTCATCTAAATAAATTTCAAATGCTTGATTAGTAATTTTGCAGAATGATTGTTTGCTAAACCATGGTACACATCATTTTTCATTTATTTTGCCCGTGTCGTTTTTAGTCTCATGTAATTGCATGGTGTCGGAAAGATGCCTTCCCGGTTCAGAGAATTATGAAAAGAAGAAGCGGAGATTAGGGGGGCAAAAAAAGATCGGAGAGAAAAAGAAAAAGGTAGAGAATGCAGGATAAAGAGATCCTCTCTACTTGAGGTGCCAATAGACTATTGTATTGGTGGATCGTGAGATGCACTTAAAGATATATCTCACTCTGGGGCGGATAGTGGATACTGTTTCATTGATGTTTCATTAGAGTTATTTCTTCTTCACTGTTTTTGGCTACTGGTCACGATGCGAGTACTCCAGCACTTTCAGGCAGGTAGTTTTGTGTCATAACCAATATTGTTCTCTCTTCTTTTCAGCTTACTATCGCGGGGCTATGGGCATATTGCTGGTCTACGATGTTACTGACGAATCGTCATTTAACAGTAAAGCATTTCTGTCTTCAGTCTGATATTTGAATTGGATGTTGTACCTTTCCGCGTGAAGGCTTTTCCATTTGTAATGTCCACTCAGCATATGCTTTTTACAGATATCAAGAATTGGATTCGCAACATTCAACAGCATGCTTCGGATAATGTTAACAAAATATTGGTGGGGAACAAAGCTGACATGGACGAAAGCAAAAGGGTACGCACCCTCTGCTAGCATATTTATGAACTTCTTTGGCTTTCCCTATCCCCTACTTCTCTCATGCACACTGTTTTCATTGTCTGTAATTATAACCTTTTATTTTTTTCAGGCTGTGCCAACGTCCAAAGGTCAAGCACTGGCTGATGAGTATGGGATTCAGTTCTTTGAAACAGTAAGTAGTACCTGAGAATGCGGCAGCTCCCAGAAGCTCTTTGCTTATGAACTTTTTCCTTTTTCTTTTTCTTCTTTGGTTATTGTCATCGTCATCATCTTGCAGAGCGCAAGGACAAACCAAAATGTGGAAGAAGTTTTCTTCTCCATAGCAAGAGATATAAAGCAGAGGCTAACTGATAATAACGCTAGATCAGAGGTATACATGTCATTCCTCTTTCTTTGAAATTGCATCGAGTTATTCTCCATGCTCTCTAAGGATGAATGTTTCGTGAAACTTTATTGCAGGCAACTACAATTAGGATCAACCAAGATCAGGCAGCAGGGAGTGGGCAAGCGGCTCAAAAATCAGCTTGTTGTGGTTGAAGGCTAAGTTTCCAAAGGAGTCAACACCTTGCCCAAGAACAATGATGAACGATGGAAGTACTACTCGCAAGACTACTTTTATTTTAACGTTGTCATTCTTTCCAGCATTTACATGTGAGAAAAATCAGATATCAATCCAAAGCCACATGCCTTTTATATATACATATATATATATATATATATATAAATATCTGAACGCATATATCTATCCACGTTGAGGTAAACATGGGCTAAGCAACTGTCGTGAGTTTTTCCAAGCACAACGAGGCAAACTGAAAAATTTTCCTATCGTGCTGAGTTTTAATGTATGTTTAGAGTTCTGCGCTTTTAACAAAAGAGACAAACTTGTTACTTTCTACTTCTTTTTTCCATTAGCAAGGAATGATGACACGAAATTAAAAAAGTCTAGGTGTGGTCACCCCAATACTATCATCATACAAAATGACCAAGAGTCCCTGACGGGAAGATCTAATCAGACAAACTTGGTACTTGTGTCACCAAACACAGCGTCCATGGACGAAATCAAAATACGATGGAAAAATAATCATTAATGTTGTTTTGGACATTAAAAATTAGTGGAAATCAAAATACGATGGAAAAATAATAATTAATATGGTCTCAAAAATTTGAATTTTTTTTTTGATACAATCAAAAATTTGATTTGATACGACAGATAATTATAAACAAAAAAATTCCTCAAGAGATGACCGTTAAACTAAAAAGGTAGAATGTAACTTAATCACTTCCAGCTATCCATGACCGATTAGTTTTTGGGCTCGAAACAGTTAATTCTCCTTAGACCACTCACTTGTGCCCATTGTTTCCCATATGAACAAAAAAACATGTGATTAAATGTTTCATGAATTTACCCTGATCCGGTCGCAATCCTTGAAACCCAAAGGCAACATGCGTGCCAGGATTTGTTATCTGCATGCGCTGAAATCGATCAATAATAACGTTTAATGCTTTCCTCTAAGGCTCTAACCTCTTCTCGGTTTCATCGAAGGCCAATCAAACGCGTCATACATAACCGCTGCATTCATTTTGACACGTAAACGAGACGCATAGCAGAGGAAGCCGAAGTTAAGGCCCGCCCCTACAGAAGAGAGTAGAGACTCATTGACCCCTCGGGATAAATTTAGCTATAACATAAACCCCTTCCCCAAGAGCCGAAGTTCTGAGACAACACATTGAAAACGGTCAACAGCCAAAAGCTTACCCACTTAACTTCAGAAGCGACCAGAACCATTCCCAGTTCCAAGTCCCCCTCTTGCCAGAAAATAATCGGCGTCCATATTTCCCAAAGCTTTTTCCGACATAGTAGTTGGGTGAATTTTACCTTCCATTTACAGATATGCCTCCAAAGAAGCATAATTTTTACATGACCCTTCTCCGATCCTCAAGTTTCGCACTCTAAACATACTAAACAAACAAGAATTGTTCCTTAATTCCGTTCTATTTACTAACTTTCCACACAATGTCCCTGATAAGCTGTCCTCTGTCATGGCACCTAATCTCATTGATTTGTACAAAATCTAGCAACAGGCATCCATTGCCATAAAAACTCCAGAATTCCAGGCAAATTGCGAGGCCAGAAATAAGATCATGTTAGATTCATATGTCTTACTATGCATAAATAGAATTTCTAGCCTCCATAACATTGACACAGGCTAGGGACTTATTAGTACTTCCTTTCCGTAAATGCGCTGAAGCTCACGAGTTGCTGCTTGAAATGATTCTACAGGGAGTGGGAAGGAATAAGAGAATTGAATAATTGACGTAGCCCAAAAAGAAAATTTTAATGCAAATATTCATCTTTAGTGTGTAAAGAAGAAACAAGAAAGGAATGTACTACCTTTCCAACTGTGAAATGCTTTCTGATTAATTTTTGAACCAAAAACCGTTTGAATTGTATCAACCAACAAACTTTCAGGGGTATTCTTCAGTTCCTGAACTATTTGATATATGGTCTTCCCGTTCTCAAAGTAAATGTGCTTGTTAGGGTGTTTTGTTTTGCAACCAGCATGTGTCTCAAACTCATGAGCATTTAAAACCTGAAAATATGAAAAAACCAACCCGACTCATACGAATTATCAATAATGAAATGACTAAGCTTTTTCCTCAGGTTTTTAAATCAATAGATGACCAACCTTGGTATAATCGCATGATTGACAACCACACAGATAGCCAAAACCTTTAATAACTCCACGGAGTTCCTTCATATATGAAACAATGTAACCACAACTTAATATAAAGGACTTCATATTGAAACAAATAAAAACAAAGATCTGAGTTTACCTCCCGTGCCACTGAGGTGTACTTTACAGGAACTCCATCTAGCATACCAGTAGAAATCAAGTTTCTGACGTTAGAAGGGAAACTATTTGGAGTTTCTTTCCTTGTTATTCTACACTCTGGTATCTTTTTGGACAGAGACTCGGGTTTAAGTTTAGCCACCAGAGGAGAATTTACAATCGCATTTGAATTTGAAACATCCATCTCTGTTTTGTCAGCTGCCACTGACACCTCAACTGAAGATTGATCGTACAACGGACCATATTCTCTCGCTGGCCTATTCGCAGGGATGGCATCCTGTTCATCTAGGAAGCCACCAAAAGAAATTACATTCGTGTCATCTTTATTACAGGAATCACTAATAGATGTGGCATTCACTGCTACTCTGCAAGAAGGGCCATCTAGTGATCTAATATGTGCTTCCGCTCTATCGCATGTAAGTCCCATTAATGTGACACCACCCTCCGTATCAAAGGCTTGCCCCGTTGATATAGATTTTGACTCAGGTTCTCTGTTACAAGCCTGATGTAGATTGCCAACATTCTGTATGTCAAGATTACGACTCCCTGAAGGCTGTGCATTGTCGCAATCTTTAACACCATTGACTTTCACTTTTTTAATTCCACCGAAACCTAGACATGTATCAGAATCTTCAACAGAATGAGATATAGACAGGTCAAAAGAGGCATCTTCCCCATATGACATTTTTGTTCGTGCATTGAAATCATCAGTCATAAAAAAAGTTTTCTCTTCACCGAAATTGACAGGCCTAGTTTCGGATCTAAAAGATCCGCCAAGAAACTGGATTGGAACAGAATGAAAAGAAGAATTGCTCTGCCAAGATGTAAACGCATTTGACAATCCTGAACTTGATTTTCCATTAGCATCTTCCGTAGCTTGCTTCTTGTTTGCTAAAGAATCTATTTCAGCAGAATCAACAAAACAGTGACGAGACCGCTTTGGTTCAATTTTGGAAGGATGACCAAATGCTGCCTTTTTGTCACCCATTACCATCCAAAATCCCTTGTTTTGGGAAGACTGCGGAAAATAAAACTCAAATTTGCTTCACATTAGAAGGGGCACAAGACTTGTTCAGTACATATAAGAAGTACAAAACCTCAATCTAGGCTTCCAAACAAATGTTCACGTTAATGCGCCTACCATTGCACAGGCCATAGCATTTCTTTCTTTCCTTCTCCCAATAAATTGTCTCTCTGTTATATTCGAACTATTAGTGTTGTATTGCTATATTCGAACTATTAGTGTTATATTGCTATATTCGAACTATTAGTGTTATATTGCAGTTGTTTTAATTCTCTTGTAAATATATATGCCGTATGCACGTAGATATTTTAGATTTTGCTGTGTTTACTGTCTACTATTAACGACCCCCGTATCAGAAACGGTGTTGACGTCAGATTATGTCCTGTTTCCTGTATCGATGTTTAGGTTTCAAAGCTCTTTGATTTAAAAGAAAGCGACATACAGCAGAAGCACTACTCAACGTCTGTAAATTACAATCCAATGTGCATGTGCGTGCAAGCCTTATAGGAGAAGACGGTCATGTAATGTTCAAAAAAAAATAAAAATAGGAACAAAAGTAGAGCTTAGTAAATACCATTTATTTCTACTTTTGCAGGTGAAAAGCTATCCCAAGTCTACTGTGTGACTTTCTGGTCGGCTCCAGGGGATGCTTCTCTTAGTTCTAGTGGACACGGACCCTGAAAAGATCCAAATAAACATATCATTCAAAGTCAGTGGCGAGGAAAAAGACTAGCAAGCAACAGGACAAAATTGATCAAACTGTAAAAGCTAAGAGTACATAATTCTTTCATTTCATCTGAATACTACGATCTCCATAAAAAAAAGAATACTACGGCATTAACAAGCTTAAAAATCTAAATTACCAAACAAAACTTCACAAGTGAGCGTAAAATCATCTAGAACAAATACATTCAATCTCAGTGATTACGAGAAAGGACAACCTGCGGTGATGGCAGCTCGATAGGAAAATTCCACAATCCGTTACCTCGGCGGTGCCGGAAATATGATAGGAGGTTTTTCTGACGTCAGTTAATGATGACCTTCCAGCGAGTCAGCAGCAGTGATGAACGGAGACAGCTTCTGGAAACAAACGGACGGCAAAATTTTGATACGGCAACAGAAGACGGGTGGAGAAGCACTCGATCTTTTCTCGGTTATTGGATGCAATGATCGAATGAGCCTGAATTAAGTTTCGGTCACGGTTCCGCTTGCTCCGTGCGCGTACACGTGTGTGTTAGGAAATAAATCTTTGGTTCCCCGCTGGCAGGGTCGGATTTGATTCCGCTGTTAAACATTGTGTTCTCTCCTTACTCTCCGCGGAGATGTGCTCGTACGTGGCTTACTAAATTTAATATAAAATTTAATTAATTAATTTAAATAGATTAAACACGTTGGTTAAGTTAGTTGTTTATAATAAATAAATATTATTTTTCCTGAAGCATCCTTACTAATCAAACGGGTTAGAACTACTATTATTATAATAATCATCTTAAAAAATAAATAAATAAATACAAAAAATAAAGTAGATTAAAATCTTATATTTAGAATTAAAATAAAAATTAAACAAGCTGGAAACACTATTATTTAAATTTTAAACAGCATCACAGAGCATACTTTGGAAATGTTCTTGTCGTACATTTGGAATAATTCATTATATTCATAATAATAAGTAGGTGGACTCTTGTGGCTTTAAACTCACTATAATTTTTATATTTAATATCAGTAATTATATGAATGATTGAGGTTGATTTGGTACTAATCATATTGTTTATTTTGGGCTAGAAGTATTAATCATTGTTAGTAACTTTTTTTGGGTGAACAGTAATCATTGTTATTTGTTTTCTTTTTTTTTTTTACCAGCAATCATTTTTTATTTCGGGCCTAAAAAAAGTTCATGGACGTACATCTCTTTGTTTATTTGTTTTTTGGCCCAACATCTCTTTGTATTTATTTGATTCACATTAGTTAATAACTCATTTTGGATAATGGGCCATGCATTCCAGTGGGCCAAGGACTATAAACAATTTCACTTATGGCAGTACCGAAGAGGGATGCGAATGATTTCCCCACACCATGAGCGGCAAATCGTTGCCGCCAACGGCAATTCCTCTTCAGGTTCGATGGCATGAATCCGATGATCAAGAAAAACGAGAGCTCAGCGTAATTCAGACCCCACGGAACTTGCAGACGAGTTGTGTCCCCTTCAGGCTTCCCGATGATTGGATCGTCGAGGAAAGGCCCCGTTCCTCCTCCACCGGCAGTCGCCGCCATGTCGACAGGGTGAATGGGCCTCTTCTGTACCTTCATTTGATTTTCGCTTTATACTTGAAATGTACCTTCAATTATGTATAAGTAGCTTTGCATTCATGCATGCATGCATCTACTCATGGACTATCGTCCTCCATAGACTCTCTTTCCGTTGGCGTATTGACTATTGAGAGGTGGAAGCTGTGGAACGTGTTGATTTGAATCGGATTTGGCATCATTGCCAGTTACCATTTCGTGTTGAAACCTACGGATTGGAAGAACAAATCCCGTACAGCGTTCAAATTATAGATTTTTATGCATGGATGTTTATACGAACAAGTGTGACGATGTGCGAAACTACATTCGGTGTTAATGCGGTGATTGCTGGGACTCCTCTCTGGACATTCTTTAACCAGGGTCATGATATATAGAAATTCTTTCATTTTGCATTTACTTACTGATTTTGTTTTGTTTGGCAGTATTACTATGAGCCTGGCACTGGAAGGAAATTTCGTTCGCTGGTATCTGTACAGAAACATCTAATGGAAGGGACAAGAGAAACTAAGAGAGTGAAATCTGAAAAAAAACCAGTGAGTAGCTGACTTTTACTATTTAGTTTGCTGACAGAATATGCAGAAAAGTGTCTCCAAGTACCTTCTTGTTGGAATTAATTACAAGCGTTTTCTTATCAACGGCTTGTAGAATCTAGCTAAAATTTTATACAAGTAGGAATGGTAAAGAACGGTCGAAGTCTTGCCAAAACTAAGAAAGCATGCAATATTATCATTTTATTGTGGGTTCACAACACTTGTAATTCTCGTACCACGAGGATCGTTTCTTCACTCACATAGCTAATATTGCTGCAGGTGCAGGCTGCAACTCAAACCAGGGGATGTACCTTTGGATTACCAGATAATTGGATAGTTGAGGAGAAGCGACGTAAATATGTTGGAGTCACGGATAGGGTACTTCTGTTTTGCCTAATCCCTTTTAATATGGGGTATTTTGTATTTTATAGCTAGGCCTTCAGCCTTCCCACTTCTATGAACTGGGCTTTATGGTCATATCTGTTTCAGTTATTGCCTGCGTAAGTATTATATAAATCGCATTAGTTCTTGGATAGACGGGTAGCTCCAAAACTACTTGGTTTGGCATTTGGAACACGAAAAGATTAGTGTGCTTTCATTTTGCATTCTGTGTCCTTTAATTTACCTGTGTTCTGTTGTAATCTACTCATTCTATTAGTTGTGATCATGGAATAGCTTCACTCTTATTTATATTCTATCTGACAAATGTACTATCCGACGCCATTTTTAAGTGAACAGTCACAGAACCTAAGTTGCCTCTATTACGATGCATTTTGAGCGTTCCAATCTCCTAAGAATTGGAAAGTTGTAAACTTGGAAGCAAGAACACACACACACTTGCATGCGGAGGTTATGAGAAACTTGTTCACTATAGTTATTTCATGAACTTGAATAATGCTTTGTTTTATGCAGACTTATATTGAGTCTGAGACAGGGCAGCGGTTCCGTTCATTGCTAGCTGTTCAGAGATATCTAGGTGAAGACAATGGATTCACAGCCACAGCTAAGGTGTCAAATGCAAACAAATTTCTGGCAGCTGGAAAAATACTGATGAGGTGGCATCAATATAATTTTGCATGTTTTCTCACTGTGTAACTTATACTTCCTTTTCAGCCATTTTCAAAGCATGGAAGTGAAAAGCAAAGCGCTTCTGGTGAGAACTGTAGTGCTGAAGCTGTTGGTAAGCATTCTAAAGTTGCTGAAGAAGATGAAATTTATCTGAAATCATTGAAACTTAAATCTAAGGTGAGTTTTAAAACTACAGATTTTTGTGATATAAAGAACCTGATTGCAATTTCAGCATGACCAATTGGATGTCTTTTAAAGAACTATAAGAAGCCTGGTTCCTTCAAGAAAACCGGTTTGGATAAGGACAACAAGGCTTCCATGGTTGACTTATCCTGTCCGCCAGCAAAAGTGGAGTGGGTTCTGTCTGGTGACAGGGGCTTCTGGACTCCTTTCCTGGATGGTTCCAAAGTTCCAGAATCTGTAAAGCAGAAATGGTCTGATGCATTCGTGTCATACATCCAAGATGGAGATGCTAACGAACCGAGATGTTGAGGTAATGCTGCTGAAAAATCTGAAATCATTTGACACTTCAGTGTCATTTAAATCCTCACTTTCCAATGCGCTTGGAGTTTCTCGTTGAATCGATGTAGAAATGCAGGACTCACTAACGGGCATCACACATGGTAACAGAGGCAGCGTAAAGGTGAAAGAGGAGACGTCAGTGCTTATTGGAGACCGTAGTTTGACGTAATGTGGCTTTAAGTTGCAATGCCTTGTTGCATACTGTATGTCTCGTATCCCATCTGCTGCTTGGATTCATGAATGGCGAGCTTGATCGCTGACTAAAACGATGTAATTTTATCACATTGGAGTTAAATGAAGTCATAGCAACTGTTCACACGTCTTAAACAGAATGATTTTTTCTCAGCAAACGTGTCTTTACAAATTGAAAGTTTTCAGGAAGACAGCACTGAAGTATGAGTTCTAAGGGATGCAATGGCGGATCAAAACAGGAATGATATTTTAGAGTAGTAGAAATCCACACTTTCCGTACATATGAAAAGATAATAATAATTCGGACAAAGGCATAAAATATTTAAAACTACGCATAAGGTTATATTTGCGATGCTTGAGACAAATGCTGAACAATGCAGTCTTCGATCATGGATCTCACTTACACAGGAAACAAAATTGAAGCTTAACGATGAAAGATTTGAAGCTTCATTTCGTCCTAATACGATTTTTTCCGTTGGCAAAAGGAAAAAGGAATATGATTTTTCCCCCGGGAGGCCGTGCAGTTTCTTGAATTTGGATTTTATTGTTATCATTTCTGCTTCATTTTGAGACAACAACATTGATTTTAGGCTTACCTGCGCGGTGTGGGATATTGAGAGAAGCCCATGACGAAGGCATCGGCGCATCGCCTCTCCCGTCCGCGGAACAGAACACGAGTCGAGACAAAAGGTTGAGTCTGGAGAACGACATCCGTACATACAATCTTTCTTTGATGATTAGATGCTATGTCACGCTTTTGGATAGACCTCTCTCAACTCTCTACCAATCACACAAAATTTAGTTTAGATGGAGACGAACGGCGAAGGCTGAGGCTTGTCTTTAAATAAAAGATTACTGAAGGCATCAATATAAGGATAAATATAGAAATGCACAATAATAAGAGATTACTAAAGGCCTGTTTGGTCATTTTGAGATATATCAAGTGCTGAAGGCAATGCAATGCTCAAAGTGTGACCTTTTTCTAAAAAGGAGCGCAAAGCCTTCTTTGGGGAAAGCAATTTAAAATTGAGGCAACTAGAGAAAGACAGATAAACTCTAATTTCGAAGTCCGCTAAGATCAATGACGATGGGAATATGAAAAGTCAAACCCCAACTGCTGAATAATTGTTTGTTTTATATGTCCGAGTCTCGGAGTCACGAGTGCTTGGGGCGCATATGAATAATTCAATCTGGTTGTACACAAACCCAATGCCCCACCTTGGAAGTTATCTTTGTGTATGATAGTGTTTGATGGCAAAGTCTGAAGCTTTGGAGCGTCTGATGTGACTTGGGGAGTAATTTTGTCATATTCTGGTGAAGTCTTTCTCGCCATGCACTCACAAGATATGATGCATCATTCTTGCCCCATTCTCCGGAATACTCACTAGCGTGCCATTGGATGAGCTTGCAGGTTGATGTGTGGATATCACACCTTTGGATGAACAAAAAATGCAGCACTTGCACGCTATTCCTCCCAATTCTCCAAATAAAAGGAATCGGGAAACGGAGAAATACATACGGATACGGGAGGGGGACCTACCTGCAAGTTTCACTTTATCTCTATTTTCTTCACTTTTTCATTTTATTTTGAAGGGAACAAGATGGTATTTGTCATAAATTATACTGTTTAATGCTAATTAATGGATGGAGAGTTTGAATTATATTATATTATATATACAAAATGTACGGAGATGAGATCGATGATAGATATGGAGGGGATAAAATAAATCCCATCCGACTTGGCGACACAAAAGTCAAGTCACATGCAGGGGGAAGCCGAGGTGCATAATAATACCCAAATGGAAATCTCATTGCTGATGTGTAAAAGTCAGAGCAATCAGCAGTCAAAGGCTAACATAAAATGAATTTAAAGGCTTTGGGCAATCACCGACGTAGAAAAGGGTAAGAAACCAAGTCACCAGCCGGCACAAGCAGCCAAAAAGATATAACATATGGGTCAAGAAATAAGATATGGCTCCTAAACTTAGCATTTGTCATCATATAATAATATATTATAATACAAGTAGCCAAGCATCTCTGTGCAGCTCTTTAATTGAACTTTGCATTCACAAGCAATTCTGTTTCCATTTCCCATTCACCGTTGCGCTTCAATTGTTCTTTTGCTGCCACTGTTCTCTTTCTTTGCCGTCATCGTCTTGGACTTCCTCGGCATGCACTTGGCCCTCGCTGCGTCTCCGCCCTCCGTTATCTGTAACTGCGATCCACTGCAACCCACCATACATCCCACATTTTAGACTCTTCACAATTTCCAAGTCCAATTGCTTCTCTTTAGAATCAGACCATCATGTCAATATCCAGCAAGTAGAGAGATAAATGAACATAGAATATATAATTATATATATACTTAGACAGATCTGCATCTCACTGTTCGAGTTCAGAGTTTCCTATGAATTTGTACTAGCAGATAAGTTGATGGCAGAGGTTGTCAGTTTAGAATTCATGAAATTAACTATAGGCATGTTTTAAACAGTGACCCCACATGGAGCTGACAGATTAATTTGGGCGAAAAACAACATAAATGCAGCGTTTATTAAATTCAATTGCAAAGTCTAATTTATTAGTGACACTGGGGGGAGATCAGATCATAGACAGAGACCGACGAGGGCCAGACCGGGTCAGGGATGAGTATTACTCTTGTGACACTACAAAACGAACCCGGGCTAGCTGGCTTCTTGTGAAAATTGTACAAACCTACAACCCTAAAAATGCAGACTAGAGCATCAAGTTTATAGCAGAGAATCAAAATTTTCTGAGCGGAACTGTTGAGAAACTCTAGGCTTCTAGCCAAGGAGAAAACGCAACGTACTTTACAAACAGCCACCATGATATAGCTATTCCCAGATGCTGATAAATGATAATGCCTACTCATTCGGCAAAATATGTTCAATTATGAGCCATTCTGTTCCAGTAGATGAATAGGAACAGACCACATGATCATGCAAATTGGACAACATCCGTAGACACTGGCACGTTCCTTTGCAACAATGATCCGCTAAACATATGTCACAGAAACCCCTCTGATAAATAAATGCTCATTTCAATTCCGAAAATGACCCATGTCGCTAGTATTAATTGGTAATACCGACATTCTTTTTAGATCATGATAACTATTCTTTATTATAGTTCTGATTCAAATTACAAAGCTTGTTCTTTATGCACTAATTTCATATTTTATATGAAAATATAAATATATTGCCACAATGTCTTCAATCTCGATGAGGTTTTCCGTTTTCACTTGGAAGTTATATCCCGTACCATACCCATATTTCTGTCATAGAACCTAAGCGGCTGAGACTGTGTGAATGTCAAAGTCTACAGTCTACAATGTCACTCGTTACTAGGCAGGCCGAAGTTGAAAACTTTTTGGAAATTTGAAATTTATGCAGTGGAAAAGCAAAAAGTTTCACACAAATTAGAATGATCTATAACCAACTAATTAGTCGTTGACGAAAATAACAAGCTTGTGCAACATACCTATCAGCATTGTAAGAAGATGATCTCTTCAACGCAGGAAAATCCGCTTTCTTGGTCTCGATCAAACTTCCACTAAAATACTCCTTATCTTCTAATCTCACCCCGCCCAAATCTGGTATTTCAACTGAAGTTCCCGTCTCCTTCGATGTTTGATTTCCTGCTTCGTGGACCATCCTTGGCTTGTGATTCCCCGTCAAGCATAACCCTTGATCTTTTAAGGAAGTGGGCTCGCTGTCCTTAAAAGAGATTGAACCGCACGATAACAATTGAATCAGAACCGACGATGCTTTCATCCTTCCACTTGGGTGGCTATATGCCGACAGATTTGCACCGTTTTTATCGATTCTCGAAGACGTCAATGCTAGCCGTCCATCTGCATTCATCAGCGTCTCCAATGTTTCGGGGCTTGAATCCGATGGTGGAGGTGAAATTTCCTCCCTGCTCAGCTCCGTACTTTGATTATGACCAATCATCCGCGACTCCGGGATTCTCCCACCCTCCGCCTCGATTTCCTTCTCTCCCCTGGCCGCCCTCCTTCGCCGTCGCTTATCCTCCGTCTGAGTCGAGGCGTCGGCGGCGAGTTTCCCGGAAGAGTCACCGGAAGACTCAGACTTGTACACCCTGTACTCGTTGAGGTCTATGGAGCTCCAAGACTGGTTCCGCCTCCTCGTGATCACCGGAAAATCAGAATCATCGTCCGACTTGCGAATATCCTCGGGCGGCCTGAGAGACCGAGACGACGCCGTTTCAAATGGCCTTTGGATAGAAGAGTGCTCGAGAATCTCTGATCCTTTCAGAATGTACTCTTGCCCCTGCGTCGGGTAGATGAAATCGTTCTCCGATAAATCGTGCCAGACAAAACCGTTTTTGTAGCTCCTGCATCGATGACCAGGAAAAAAATATTAAGAAACTGAACTCTGATTGGAGCTGAAACTGAGCGTTCCAGTAGCTTAAAGAACAGAGACAGTACCGTTTCGCAGACCAGGAGTAGAGGCTGGCCATACCTTTCCCACGAAGAAGGTTCAAGCGATTGATTACGTCTGAAAACAGAATGAAAATTGATTACTAAGTGTGCCCTGTTTGATTATAAAATTGAAATGGGACGGGATTCAGAATATCAAATTTTCATTCTTGTTCCATTGTGAGCTGAGAACTTGGAATACCTCTTAGGTAGAGTCCTTGAGGAGAGGAGAGAGGAACCTCCATGAAATGTGGGTGCTCAAGCTGGCCATTCCTGGAAAGGTAATAGACGACAGAGACCTTCCTCTCGGATTTGGGCTTAGGTTCAGTCCAGACTTTGGTTCTTTCGGGGCTGGTGTCCCTGTCCTTCCACTTCTTGGGGATTTGGAGCTCTGATATTCTTGATTTGGAAGTGACCTCCATTTCTCTCTGCATGACGATGACAAGGAGCAGCAGGGAGTGAACAGATTGATAGAGCAGAGATAGAAGAAGAGAGACGAGGTAGAAGGGACAGTGATGTACCGAGGCGGGAAAGCGGTGAAAGAAAGTGAAATGTCAACTGTGAGATTTTGAAGAGTTAAAAAGAAGGGGAGGTGTGAAACGGGAAGAGAGATTCAAATTGGGGATGCGGCAGACAACAGCTACAAAACAAAATGTGGCTGTTTGGGATTTAGTACGGGCAGGCTTGTGTACAGTAGTAGAATTTCATGCTTAGTTTATTTATTTAGATGCAGGGAGCGATATAACGCCAATGGGCTATTGTCCTGGGTTTTCCTTTAACGCTTTAATTTAGTGAAAAATGGAGAGCAGGAGACAGAAAGAAATGTGAAAATCAATCGTTCACATTGACACGAGATCGGTATAGATTTTTTTATTATAATTATGCAAATCGCAAAGGTTATTTAAGTTTTTTTGTTAAACCGTCTTTGTCTCCTTATGCGATTTAAAATTAACGATTTTAATTTTGTTATTTTAGATACCAGTTAAGAATTATATGTCTACGTTGTATTTTAAAAATAATACATTTATAAACAATAAAATTTCAACTGTGTGAGAGTTAAGTTTGTGTTTTTTTTTTTTAACAAATACAAACCTGCCTCTTTAAATATGTGCATGACATTCGAGCTCCTGTTAACATGTCGGGCATCATGGTTAGACTAATCTAATAGTTTAGGGTTAAAGTCATACTACTATTTTCTTCTCTCTTTTTTTTTTTTATGGTTAAAGTCATATTATCAAGACTGGCAAATCCAATTAGAAATGTCATGTTTATTTTGCAATAATGTAACATCGCGTGAATCTCGTGGATGCAGCACTGTTAGGCGGACTAATACTCTCAAGTCCCAGGCATGGCATTGCAGCAAGTGTCATTGAAAATTAGATATCTCAAGCGGAGAAGCGTCAACATTAAACATAATAATCTAGTAGTATAATTTATGAGAAATCCCAATATATATAAATCATAGGATCACACTAGGATTCATTTCCAAATTCATAAAACATGAAAGAAATGCGGAGTATATGATGACCAACACAACTACCAAGTTTTGCGGGGCTCTGAGAAACACAATGGTGTTGGCAAGGAACAGGTAATAGGCGGTTGCTGTGGTGAAAGGGTGGGTTTCAACCACTTTATGAGAAAATTCAAATCATGCAAAGCTGGGCGTTGACTGCTCAGACTTCGACCATCTCCACCTAACTTTGACTAAGCTAAGCTTATGGCATTGATTGCGTCTCGACACTTCTCCTCAGTCCCGCAGGCTTCAAACTCCGAGGAGACCAAACAAGACCCCGAGAATGAAACCATCCACGTGGACCCCACGCCTCTTGCATCCATCGATCACTCCAACGATCGCTATCGTCGACGGTGCAGAGCAGATCACAAGATCCAGATAACTATTAAATAAATATAGGCGCAGCAGCTTTGTGGCTCTTATGATCGGACGGTGGTTGTTCCTTGAAGGATAAGATCAAGGGGTGGGAAGTGAGGGTGAAGGGCCATGGACGGAAGAGAACAAAAAGTGGGAGGTGGCGTTGATTTCCGACGAGGAACGGAGTCTGAGAAATGGTCGGTTGGTCCAAGCTATCGGCACAAAGGGCCAGGGAAGCGCACGTGGAGGGCACATGCGTCGGTCACAAAAGCAAGCCCACGAGGCGCTGGGCCCAACACATATTGATTTTAGGCCTTCCCACCCTCCCGAGTCCCCACCACACGCCAACAATGCCTCGGGCACCCTTCTTTCGCATGTTCCCACCGGTTGACCCCTTTGCATGAAACTCCCTCGAATTTATTTATTTTATCAATGTACTCTATTATTTCCTGTTATTTATTATAGTTTCTATCACGAACAAAGCACGTGTTTGGGCGAGTGTTACGTTATTTTTTTTTCCCCCGCTTTCAAAACTGGTTGCTTTGGAATCTACATCGTTGGGTGGAACGGTAAAGAGAGTATAGCTGCAGCGAAAATATTTACTTTTCTACTTTCCAGGGGTGAAAAGAATGGGCGTAAAGGTTTTTTTTTCCCCCTCCTGCTTTTCTGCTTTCGACAACCTTTAATTAACTCACTAAGGTGCTATGTCAACTTTTTGTTTAGGGGGAAAAAAACAGAAGAAGATAGCGACACGTCCTAGCCAGTACATGTAAACAAGTCATGACAACTTTCGTAACTTTCGTATTGTTCATTTTCCTCCCATTCCTGGATCCATGACTAGAATCCTAAATCTACCTGTAAATGGTGTGCCCCATATTTCATACATAAAATGCTTCGTTCGTTCATTCTCCTTACAACGGTTCGTGTTCTGAACGTCCAATTTCTTTTATCGCGTGGAAGTGATTAAATTGAACCAACTCATGACCTAATACCGAGCCTTCCAGAGGATCCTCTAAGCCTGGCTTAGAATTGCTTCATGATGTGGCCTTTACTCATGCACAGGTACCAAACTTAGAATGGTTTTTGTTGTAGTTATTTTCACACTAACTAGCTAGAGTCTCTTACATTACACGAAGTCAAGAAATTGTGTGATATATAGTGTTCATGGTTTATGATTAACACAACTTATTAAAGTTTTTATATTTCATATCGTTGTTAATAAATAAATAAAAAATTGCTGCTGGGTACCCCTGGCTTTGTACTACCATACATGCTCTTCTTTTTTTTCTTTTTCTTTTTTAGATATATCAACTAATTCGTACTCTCTCTCTCTCTCTCACACGTTATTGGGGGGGGATACTATTGTACTTGTGAAGCAGGGTAGGCAAAGTCACGGAGAAGGGATCTAAAATTCTAAATCCAAGTCAAACAGGGCCTGTTTTAAAATGTTCAAGTGGAATATCGTTGAAAATGTCGCATAAGCAAAACTTAAAAAAGCGCTGAGAGTACGAAGTTCCCCCATATAGAATATCCGTGCTTGCGCAGCAAGCAGCAACCCCAATATTAACAAGGTCCCTATTTGCGGATATCACTTTTCACGGCTTTTAGCCTTTTACTTTAAATTTGCACAATATTAATTGATCCCTACGTACTCTTTCCTGTGAATGAAAAAGAAAGAAAGGAGCTAACTTGACCTATTAGCTCAGTTTAGCTGGACTTTAATGTTATTAACCCACATAGAACCCCAGAAAAATCAAACGTAAAACTGGCATCATGGAATGGATCGACGAAGGCCCACTACTGAGAGTTAGGGAGCATTCGGCCCATTGTATTATGCCCTACCATTCTATGAATGCTCCCTCCTCTTGCTCATTAACTAATATACTAAACTGGATCTTTAATATAAGAACTAGTAGATACAAGATCACAGTCCATTTTACCCACCTTATTTATTAAAACTAACCTTATTAGTTACATATGTTAAGAGAGGTTGCATCAAAAGTAGTTTCAATCTAAATGATTTTAAGAAGATATTTTGAAAACCCGACACGTATTTTTGACAAGTAACTAATCTAACTATTTTTTTCATCTACTTAGGTTATTTAAAAAGATCCTATATTAATCACAGAAGGTAGTATTAATTAAATCATGCCACCAGGTATCAGTAAGCAACGTCACAAACACCTGGGTAGAAGAGTAGGGCTGCTAGATCAGGTAGCTTATCCGGCACCCGGCCAGCGATGCAAGTTTCAATATAATCCACACGAAAAGTCGAAAACAGAGTCACGTTTTGTATCCGGCTTACTCCATTGAGTGAGACTTGTAGAGGGAGAAAAGAACGCGGTCAGTAATCTGATAGTATGGGAGTAATTGTTCCCTCGATCTTCTTCGTCAAACAAGAGGGGGATATTGGCTCATCAGGCTCAAACTTTTAATTAATTAATAAACCTCACTCATCAAAATGGGCTTGAGCCAAACCTGATTCATCAATGGTGGACTTTTGATTGAAACCAGCATAAGCAGATATTTGGTGGGAGAGTGGGAGAGACGTATCTATAGGAGTGGAAGCCACTTGGTCAGCATGGAAAGAATGTTAAAACCTGTGAGTGGCTAAAAACCAAAAACCTTATCTCAAGCAAGCGTTTTTTATTGTGTCAGCACCAAAGTGCGTAATCCCCACTCCATCAATCTCCTAAAAGTATAAGTCTATTTGAGGACTAAGCGTTATTTAATCAAACCAGCATGATAGTACTCCTCCGGTCCTTAATATAAGACCCATTTAACTAATTTGATTATTAAGGAAGTTAGGTAAGTTAGTTAATTATAAGAAAAATGACACATTTTTCCTAAAACACCATAATCATCTTTCTTAATACCTCATCCTCCTCTTCTACTTGACTATGATTGAGGGGGTATCCATAGGGTAATTTAGAGAAAATTATAAATATAAAAAATGGGTCTTATATTTATGAATAAAACCAACTCAAGAATTAGTCCTATATTAAGGACCGGAGGAGTAGAAGAAAGCGGTTGGAGTTGGGTTCGTTACAAAATTAGCGTTCTTAAATCCTACATAGATTCGTCTTCAAAAATGAGTCCATGTCCCTTGCCGTTCTAATTCAAAAATGAAGGTTTTGCAGAATCTTCTCCCCGTACAAGACTACGAGGTAGTGCCACCAACACAACTTACACAATCGAGATTTTATTCTGTAGGCACACTTCGCACGCGGCCTAATGTGTGAGAGAGAAACTCATATCGAAATCTGGCAAGATAATTTTTGTCGACACAGCGCAATCGCATATATATTATATATTCAACCCCAATTTGTTGTATTGGTGGCTGGGGGCCGGGGGTTTATACTGGACGGATATTCTTCACTAACACCTTTGTAGAATATAAAGAATCTCTTTTTACTTATTCGAGCATGCAGTTGCAGAAGCAGACACCGGTTCGTGTATGATCTAAACCCAAAATAAAGTACAGGGCGTAAAAAGGGGCATATAGCTAGAGGGTCTCATATCATATTCGAGCTGGTGTACATACTATGACAATCATATTAATTAAGCTTCTTAATTCATGTCAAATGATGGTTTTCTTTGATTTTTGGGGATCTATTTGGTGATTAATTAAGGGACCGCTTCAAATTAATTTATATATGGACATGATACGTTGCGTGGGCTATCCACTGAGAGAAGCAATACATATATATGCCTGCTTTCCGTCTTATCTCAAATTAATTGCATTTTCTTTTTGCTTTGAGAAAGTGGCATATCCTTTCATCCCTCAGTGGAATTCGTTCTGTGTTTGTGTGTGCGTATTTTTTTTTTAAAGAGAGGTTGCTTCAGGAATCGAGGGAATAGAGCAATATAGTCTTGATGTCTTAAAAAAATAAAATCAAATAATTAGGGGAGCTAAATGAATAGCCTAATCCAAGATCATCTGAGTTTCAAGAAAATAGAAAAAGAACCTATTTAATAATTTTAGTTATCACTAAATCCAACATGCGGTAGGAAAGAGGCTAAATCCATGCAGTAATTTGATATGTGATTGTCTGGCCAGGAGCGCTGATTTGGCATTCTTCTATGTACAGTGTAGTTTGCTATTTTATTTAGATTGACTTCATCGTTACATTAATTATTTGGTTATTGTAATTATTGTAGATTGATTTTTTATTCATTAAGGTTCCTCAGTTTTGTCGGATATCGATACAACCCTCTCGTATATTAAAGAAATACGCAGCATAACTTTACCCTCAATTTTGTCTCGTGTTTTTCCTTTGGTTCTTCTTTGCATATTTCTTCAATTTCTCTCTCTCAGTTAATCTATTTTCACAAAAAAACGATAATAAGAACATGGGGAAAATAATGATAGAGCATGGCCCTTGTACTAAAGAATAACAGTTCTGCAAAGTAATAACAACTTTATAACAAGTAACAATTAAGAACGCCAGCCTGTTCAAGTGCAGTGTGACGAGGTTGATGACGTTGATTAACACTGAGATCCAGTTCGGTTTTTAACTACACATATTATTGAATCTAGCAAGCACGAAATAAAGGGATGTAGCTCTTAAAAGGCCCCCTGCTTAATTAGACGCTCTTAAAATATAGCTAGGCTCTGGCTGTAACTTGTAACAAATGCGATACTAGATAGAGATATGAAAATATATCTCATTGTTTTCTCAGCACAAAAACATTGATCTTATTGAAAGAATGCTACACTGTGCATATTAGGATCCTACATGTTCTGAAATATATTAGGAGAACTGCAAAGAAGGAGAGGGGATTTGTGAAAGATAAAATAAGAGTTGACTGATATGTGAAATACCTTTGTAGTCTAATGATATTGTCACTCTCTTATAAGTAGAAGGTTATGGGTTTCATTCCGTCTCAAGTCATTAGTGTCTAGAGGTAGTAATATGGATTGAGTTTGCGGTCCAATCTGTGTGATAGGTTAAGGTAAAAAAATACTAATTCATTTTGATGTGAGTTTCTTCAGCTTGTATTATCAGCTCTAATGCTTTACTAGTGTCTATCCTTTTAATTTTTTTTTTAAAAAAGAGATGGCAGATATGATGGGATCATAAATTTCCATGTACGTTATCACTATTCAATTTTAATTTAGAATAAAATGCATATATGTGTGGGACCGCCTTCCATTACTTTTCATATAATCTTAAATACTTAATGGAGAAATGCCGAGATATGATAAAATTAAGTGATCTGCCCACAAAATGGTTGATGAATGGTGCCATCCACTTCATTAGGGGGCCTCTCCCTCTCCCCTTTTTAATTGTTTTGCCCACTAGATCGCATCACAATGCCCACAAACAAAAGCAGAGGAGGCTCATCAAAAGTCACATACAGGAATCCCTATCACAACCTGTAAGTGCTGTTTGTATAGACAGAGGCTAATGACGCAATATTATTCCACTCTGCAAATTATGCTTACCTCAATTTCATCTGGACCTCTCAACTATTCACACCAAACACTCCCTTTTCTTTATTTATTTCTTTATCATTTCAACCCAATGGGTGCCTCTCGCAGTATAATTACTTCCCCGGATGCGACCTATGCGTTTTTTATCTATCTAGAGAACTAAGTGCGCCATGGGCAGCCTCATATTAATCATTAATCACCTGTTAAATCAGTGCTCACCATAATGATTGTTATTATAATAAAATCTAATTTGGATAGTCCTCATTAAAATTTTTTATCTGTAGTTTTTTAACGATAAATTTATTTTTCAAGAAGTGACAATTATAAAGTTTTCTTTATCTTAAATTCTGTATCTATTAAAATTAAAAAAAAATGTTCAAAGCATAAAAAATTTGAATCAAACATGGACCATTTAAAATTAATTTGGATATTTCAGATTAAGATGATCATTCCATGCACTACCTTCATTTCCAGTTATACATTGATATTATGCCTTGTGACTTTGTGAGATCTAACGTGACAGATAAAGATATATAGCATGGGCGGATTGATGAACGTTGCATCAAGTTGGGAAGTATATTGAGGTCACACTAAAACAAAAATATTCCAAAATGACCTGGCCATAGCTCATCTTTGAACAGTAGATCAACCCCCTTTGATGATTTGCTTTTGAGAGAAACGTGGAAAAAATGCCAAATAGAGACGAGCTTGATTTGGTTTTGTCTCCAGAAACTGGAAACTTGGAACATTATTATTGAACGTCTGATTTTCAGCACTGTTCAAGTGTTGCGGATTCGCTGGTTATGTTCAACCAATTAAAGGAACAAGGAAAAATTTACCTGATTATCCCGCTCTGCCGCCCCCAGCATTATTCTAAATTCTGATAGCTTTAGCATATGGTATACGAATGTCAATCAGCTTTAAATGAACAATGTCTCTGTCTCCATCTCTATTTTCATTATACAAGAGGAACAACATATATTCTTAAAATAAATCCTAATGACTTCTTCTTATCCTCCACTTTTAAAAAAGTTTTGTTCCCTTTCACCTTTACCCTCCATCCTGGCCTATGAGTCTGGGAATGCCAAAAACACAATAATTTATTCGAAATTTTGCAAAATGGAAAGAAGATCCACTTACTCGTCATCTTATTATTCGCCTCCCTTGTCCATTAATGTATTTTTCATCCGTTCTAGTACATATTCTGAATTATATAACAAAAGAAGCAAAATTTTCTTGGACAGTTTTGGCGAAGATTTTTTTTTTTCTTGGGAAACGAAGCGTTGGGGGACCTGGAGTTTAGTTACCTAATAAGTCTATCTCCTATATATAGTCGTAGAGATCACTGATTAGCGAGAAAATCTGTCTGCTCATCTAATTAAATACTGACGCTATATCTTAACTTTGGTGGATCAAGTGGTCGGGCCACTAAACAATTAATGACGAGTAACATATAATATAAATTGACAGAGATAAATTCCTCATGATAATGACAGAATGAGCAGGCGTGCACCACAACCACATGAACCGTGGATATGCAGACTTGCTTATTAAAATAATGACAAAGTTTTGTGGGAGAACAGATATAAATATTGGTCCAGTGCTTGTACGCAAAGCATCGTTTCGAGTGGCAAATTAAAAGTGCAAAAGTAGGGTTCCATCCCAAGGAGAGAATATTGGAGAAGAAAAAAAATGGTTCAACAAGAAATGCGAAAAGGTCCATGGACGGAACAGGAGGACATAAAACTGGTGTCCTTTGTGGGCTTGTTTGGAGAACGAAGATGGGATTTTATTGCGAAGGTTTCAGGTTTGGAAGGTGGCGGGAGATCACAAAAATAAATAGGAAAAAATGGTTATTAGGGCCTGCTGCATCATGGCAAAGATAAAGCAGCCTTTAACCACCTCATTTTGTTGTAGGTTTGCATAGAACTGGTAAGAGTTGCAGGTTACGTTGGGTTAATTACCTTCATCCTGGTCTCAAACGGGGCAAGATGACACCCCAAGAAGAGCGTCTCGTCCTGGAGCTTCACTCTAAGTGGGGAAATAGGTTTGACAATATACATATATATATGCACAAAGCTATCCTCACCTACATCTTTTTCTTCTTCTCTCTTCATGCCCTTTCTATATATCTCTTCCCTATCACTCGAATTACTGATATATAATCTCTGGCAGATGGTCAAGAATTGCTCGCAAATTACCAGGACGCACGGATAATGAGATTAAGAATTACTGGAGGACTCACATGAGGAAGATGGCTCAGGAGAAAAAGCGAGCAGCGGCGGCCGCCTCATCGCCTTCGTCATCATCAGCATCCTCCAAGAGCAGTACCGGAGAAGGAAGCTCTTATGATACAGGAGATCCTACTAATAACGTGATATCTTCCACAGAGATACAGATCACAGGCGAAGACCGAGCCCGTGAAGAAGAAGGGTACTCTATGGATGATATTTGGAAAGATATTGCAGTGTCAGAAGAGAATAAGAGTGAAGACGGCTGCAACTTCTCTTGTACTCCTTCATGGGAGTACTCTACTTCGGATTCGCTATGGGTTATGGACGAAGAGGAAAGTAAGATTTTGAACCCATTTTTTCCCTATTACGAACAAGGGATGCCATTTCTTTAACACGCTGAATCCAATTCTTTTTAGTCAGTGATTTGTTCATATGTTCATATGTATGTTATATTACGCGTATCATCATGTGTGGGTCCTGAGCAAGTCTAACCAGCATATATAGAGAGTGTTAATTAGGGTATATGGTCTCTTTAAGCTTTTAGTGTATTATTCTCCCATGCAAGTGTGACACAGCTGTAAATTAAACATCCCACAGTGCCTTTACTTTCCGCCAAAATGATGAAATCTCCTCAACACTGTATGTTTTCAATGTAAAATATCAGGCATCCTCTTCGGTCAAGCATCTGTTTGTGTTCTTTTTTTTTTTTTTAACAATCGGTGAACTTATAGTGCGAAAAGCAATTTGTTTTCCTTCGTCGGGCATTACTAAATATTAAGAAAATGGATATGATCAGTAAATGTCAATTCAAATTTGTTCACTCTTCCCTAATGGATCCACAATCTGACGAAAACTTTAACTATTTATACGCGACTAAATATGAGAGAAATTGTGTCAAAAAAATGTGAGAGAAATTGTTTATCTCTCCAATTATTTAACTGGCCTATAAGCATCAACAAATTTCTCTATCGTCGATCACCAACTTCATATCGGAAATTAAATTGGAAAAAAATTGTGTGCGCGCGGGAGCAATGAAGCCACCAGTTGCTTAACCGACTCTGCAACATGGAGAATTCTGTCAGATTTTTTTTTTTTTATCGTATGAAAAAAATCTATGAATATTTTGATTAAAACACGAATAATTATAAGTGATGTTCGGTTGGGAAAAAATTATAAAATACATCTTTTTCATTTTTTTTTTAAAAATCTAATAGTTCAAAAGAAGGATCGTTTAATTTAAAAATTCTAAAAAACCATGTGATTCATTAAAAAAAAAGAGAGAGATCATTTACAAGAGTTTCATTTTTTTTTGACAAAATTAATCTAGACTCTAAACATCAAGCCCCACAAAGGTGAAATAAAAAGGTTTTGGGCTAGGCTGCCAGTCTTATCTGAATGGGTACACAACGCTCTTTTGCATACAGCTAAAACCCAACCCAATCAGACGAAAACATATCGGGTCGTAAGACCCGGTTACCCACTTACCTCTGTTGCCCATAACGAACAAGAGGCGCGCTTTTATGATCGGTTGCAACTAGCAACATCCACAAACCAGAATGCCTCGTCTTTCCACTCTCTATCTGCTCGCTTACAACTCTCTTCAGGCTATTGGATGGTATATGATCTCTCTCTTCCGTGATTATTTCTCTTGCACACTTCTGATTCACTTACTATGTTCTCTATTTTCCTGCAGGACCTTTTCCCTCCTTGCAATTTTGATCAATCTTCTGTCCACGCGCTCTGTCGCTGGAACCTATGCTTCTTCCGGCAAGCTAATAAGTATGTGTCTTCTTTCACTTTGCCCTTCAGCTCTCTCACAAGCTTCAACAAATAAATTGCACAGTTGAAATTGAAAAGGGAATTTGATTGTTGAAGTGACGTTTAGGGGAGTTGCAGTCAGTTCTTGAATTATTTTAGAAACAAATTGTTTGGATTTAGTTATTGAAATAAGTACTACAGGTCCATGATGAAAATTTTTCCCTCTTACGGTCTTGCCTCACGACTCCCACCGTCTCCTTGCATGCGTAATAAGCTAAACGTCTGAGTTTTCATTTATCCGTGCTAGGTAGAGAACGTGAAAAATGTATTTGCTTCTCTTGTTTGATTTCCATAAAAATCGAGCAGAATTTGTAAAGGATGGGTGCAAATGGAGGCCGCTCCGTTTTCACTTATTTTCATCTCTTATTTGTAAACACACCCTCACCATGGAGACCACTTTGTTTTTCCGCCTCTTTATTCTCTTGCAAATCATGCATTTAATGTGTCACAAGACACTATTTCAACCTTAAGAATCAAGGGTGGAGGAGTAAAATTTTGAGAGTTGTCTTGAATTTCCCTTTGTATGGAATTTCTCTACATCTAAGCAGATTTCAGGCTTAAAAGATGTGATCGGTCTGCTTTACTTTCTTGTTGAAGGTTTGCTGCAATGCACTGCAGTATTGGAAGTCATACACGGAGCCATTGGTAGGTTTGCTGTTAATGAATGGCTTCTAATCAGAAGAATATTCATTATAATTTAAAGGGAATTATAAGACAACATGCTTTAAAATTATAGGCATTGTGCCAAGCGGAGTACTACTCACTCTAATGCAATGGGGAGGACGGGTCCACTTTCTGTTGGCCGTTGTTGATAAAGTTCATGAGGTTTTTGTATTGTTTTTGAATTGTTGTGTTATGACATGGTTCAAGCAATATAGCTTCATTCATGCTTATTTAATACGTGTAACCATGCTGTATGTTATTTTTAGGTTCAGGGGTCACCGTCAGTCTTTATCACTCTCCTTGCATGGAGCATAAGTGAGGTAAGTTGCTTTCAGATAGAATTCACAATGCAGTTAATCTCATGTAATAGCATCTACTCCCTTCTCAAAGCGTAGAAACCTTGCTACGTGAAATAGTAATGACTTGCTAAAACACTCGAAACATGTCAGAGACATCACTGTGACACAATATATCAAGGAAATGGAAGCATTCATAACGATATTTTAATCAGTGACGAGGAAAAGCAATACTTCCTTATGACCGCCATCAGAGATGTCACTGTGATCATCAACATTAGCGTTTTAAAAATTTGATGTCCAGTTAAAAATGGTTCTGTATAAAAGCTAACACTTGACAAATTTTTAACCGTTTAGAGTTCCGCTTTCTCATAAAACTTGAGCGCTTTCTTTGATCTCGTAATATTTGATGTCTTAAGAAACATTGATGGGACTTTCTCACAGTGCAGGTAATTAGATATTCACATTATGCTTTCAACTGCATCGGAAGTTGTCCTCCTTGGATCACCTATCTCAGGTCCTTTTCTTCCTTCTTGCTCCTTGTTTTCTGTAATTTTGTGGATAACATAAGAATAGCACTAGGTTGAAATTCTCTGTTGTGTTCACTAAAATTACACTTTCCAAATGTGAGCTTGATTCTTTATTTTACGAATTAGGTATACTGGCTTTATTGTGCTGTATCCCTTAGGGATTGGTCCTGGTGAAAGTGAGTCCTTATCTACCTTTCCATGCTTTTATCTTTTGTTTCCCTATGAATTTGCAATTCATATTGGCATTGCTACTCATTCATTCCTTTATTTTCCATTGACATCATTCAGCATGTTTTGTATAAACTAGTACAACTGATCAATCTACGATGCAGTGTGGCTAATGTATCAAGCACTTCCTATTATTGAGAAGAGGAACCTCTATGCAGATGCCTTTTCAGGTCTCCCATTCAGTTATTATGATTTCCTCAGGGTAAAGTTGCTCATCTAGTTTGTAATTCTGTTCACCAAATTCACTTAACTGCGTAGAGGCTGATAATTTCCTATTTCAACCCAACATACCATTGCTCTGGCAGCTATGATAGTGATTAGGTGTGAGCATAGCTCTTGTATCTGTAGGTTTATTACAGGTTGGATATTTGTTGTATTTTATGGAATAGACCTGAAATTAGAAATAACAAAACAAGAAAAAGCTTAGAAATTGCTACAACATAGCACATGGAACCTGGTCCTTACTCTATACCATATGGCCTTGTTTACTACCGGGCTAGGAAGTTTGCATAATTGAGGCGCGCATGAACCAGCTGGGTTCCAGTTGACCTTCAGATCCTATAAAATTGTGCTGTGACACTGACTCCTTTCCTTTTTTAATTTCTATTTAATCTTCCCAAGTTATCTGCATAAGTGAATTTTGTTAATTTCTCATTCTTTTATTTTTTTTGGTTAAACTCAATGAATCAGGTTGTAATTGCAATTTATCCATTCCTCTGGTTGAAGCTTTATCTGCATTTGTTCAAGCAAAGGAAAGCAAAACTCCGAAAAAACCATGAGAAGAAAAGAACATGAAGAGCAGAGCTCTTGGTTTTATAATTTGTTGACAACCTCACGAGTTATTGAGCTTGTGCGCTTTTTCTTGGGTGATATGAGCTCTGCGTCTCGATGAAGCGTTTTGTTTGAAAGCTGAGTGTCTCAGAATGTGGCACTTGTTAAGTGATCATTGGACTGGATTTTAACGCAAACTAATGGCATAGTCACGTGTTATTCAGGATTTCGGATTACCATCGCAGTTACTATTCATAAAATTACTGCCTGTGATATATGCGGTGTTTAGAACTCTTCTGGTCCTTAATATAAGATCTAATTAGAAGTTTGATCTTAGTTCTAAATATAAGATTTATTTTTCATATTTACTAATTTTCTAAATTATCCCTATTAAATAATGAAGTACCACAATAATACCTATTACTCATTAATAATACACCTATATATATTTTATAAAGTGAATGAGTACTGATTACTTATTAATTCCACAGATACATCAATTCTACCGCTTTATAGTTTTAATAAAATAATTTAAAACATTTTTTTAAATGAATATTTTCATGCAAATACCCATTCAAGGTGATTGGATTTTTTATCTCCGAAGAATAGCATAATAAAATATTAATCATATTATCTATTTTCTTTGTGGCTAGAAAAACATAATCTTCTATTTATATTTTACCCAATCAAGTAGAAAAAATTCCTCCCAGAAGAAAAAAAAATTAATTCTTTTTTGTGGTAAACAGGGAAATTAAAAACGAACAATGAAACAGAAGCACAACATCAAATAAGTTACCCCCTCTCTCGCTAACCGCCAAAAAGAAATTAAAGAAGTTGGACTGAGCAGATTTTCATCGACATTGGACTGGAAGGTCGGAGGCAAGCTAACCAGAGTCTAAAGTTTTTTGAAATAAAAGTTTTTTAAAGAAGTTTTAACTGAGGATATTTTAGAAAATATATATTATATTTATAATTATTATTTAACTTAACTAATTTTTTTAATTTAATCAAAATTAAATAGTTCTTGTATTAAAGATCAGAGTAGTAACAAAATACTGTGTAAATTGCATGGGTTAGTCTTGTACATTATTTCCTTCGTAATCTGATATGAGCTTCGCTCGCAGATGGGTACCTTCATCTTCTCTTGTTTCCAAAGTTATTGATGTAGGAGTTCCTGAAATAAGTGCGCACGCGCGCGTTATAATTCAAGCAGGGTTGAAGCTTGGTTTTTTCTTTTATGCATATATAATCATGACATGAGATGCTAAAAATTGAAGATAGGCATAAAAAATAGCATAATCTTAGTGAACAATACAAATGACAAAGACGAAGGGAATCACACAAAAATTGCAAACAAGAGGTAGCGCCTTAAACAACAGAAGCCAAATAAAGAAAGCAACCCCACTTTCAACATAAACAGGGTCGGGTAGAGGGGCGTTTTGGTGCCCTTAATAATCCGTGGTGGGGAGCTGTTGATGAGTTTGGCTCATGAATAACATCTCATAGACAATGGCGGCAATAGCTGCACCCAGGAAGGGACCTAGCCAGTAAACCCAGTGGTTGGCCCACGTCCAGCTCACGACGGCTGGTCCGAAAGAGACCGCTGGGTTCATGGACGCTCCGTCAAAGGCCCCACCCGCCAAGATGTTAGCTCCGACGATGAAACCAATCGCGATCGGAGCAATTATCCCAACATTACCCTTCTTTGGGTCTAAGGCCGTCGCATACACCGTGTACACCAGACCGAAGGTCATCACTATCTCAAACACCACCGCGTTCCATGCACCCACTCCCGCGGATAATGAGAAAGCGGATGTTTCCTGCCACCCAACACACAAACACAGATCTCAACTTTCCACGTGATTTGGAACGAGAAGAAGAAGACATGTCCCAAGATTCATTTAATCATCTGGTGGGATTGCGTTACGAGTTAAGGGTCATAACTATATCTTATCTGAGTGAGCTGAGTAAAACAGCAGAGCGAGGAATAATATTTACCAGTCCACCGGTGGAAAATTTAAGGAGTAAGCAAGCAACAACAGAGCCGAGCAATTGGGCGATCCAGTACAGAATGCTTCTAAAGAGAGAGATGTGACCCCCGATGAAGGCGCCGAACGTAACAGCGGGATTCACGTGACCTCCTGAAATGTTGGCGCCAACTGAAACCGCCACAAACAATGCAAAGGCATGAGCCAACGAAGCTGACACAAGCCCCGCCGGCGTCGTCGATCCATTGTCCGTCAGCTTGTCTGCAAAACCATACATCTTATTCAGTTAAAGACGGATATGATAAAGGATACTGAGAAGCAAGTAGACAGGAGATTGAAGGGGCTCACTGAAAGCCATGCCGGAGCCTTCCCCGGCGAACACAAAGATGAGCACTGAAATGAACTCAGCCAAGGCAGCCTTAAGAGCATCGGCTTGGCCCAGCTCCGATGTATTGCCGATAGCAATCCTAGAAATCGCCATTGTTTAGATTACAGAGAGTGCTCTTTACTCTGCTGATAGCTATGATAAACCTTGCGATTCAACTTCTGGCTCTGGCCGTTTTATATAGAGATTATTTAACAGTTCATGGAGGGACGAGGACCACGAACGAGGGAAGATTATTTCAAAAATTGCAGCCTGGCTGTGCGGCCTGTCGGGACAATAGGAGGGCCTCCGGTTCGCTCCCCAGGTGCCACGTGGACGGTCTGATGTGATTGGGATGATCCAAATCACCGACCAATCTACGGAGTGAGAATGGTGGATTGGTGGGTGGGCCCTCTATCGTCGTCCTACCCTTGCGGACCGAACCGACCTTTGGGTTCCTTTTCGGTGTGATGTGGACCTCCCTACTATTCTCACCACTCCTCGTTCCTGAACTCATCCACATTTGCGGCAGTTCCTTTCTGCAAGATTATATTAGATATCATTTGCTGCTTTACATCTATTTTTTAATTATTTTTAATTATTGTGTGCACTTGAATTTTTTTTATTTTCAGGAGGGAAAAAATTATTTTTTGAAGAAAGTGAACATTCTGCGAGTATGTCATGGCTATAACGCCGTGAACTTGTTTTCTTTCTGGCCTGAATACAATGCCGTGAATCGACACAACTTGTCCTTATAATAAATTGGCCCATGTGCTTATTATTGATTATGAAAGGTCACAGTCCCACACAACAGAAACACGATGATGGCTTTCTCAGTCAAACCCGAGATGGTGAAATCTCTTCCACAGTGATTCTCATTATTGGGGTGTAACAGTTTTTTTTTAATATAAAAAGACAAATGGTGTTATCGTGATAACAAGATTATAAACAGAGTTAGTATATGGATGAGAATCTAAATTAGAAAAGGCACAGTTACGCGTGACAACAAAAATCACAAAAAAAAGCCTACAGAGTTAAATCTAACAGAAAGGATTAACCTCTTACAATTTGACAAATTAAAATTTAAATACTTATTGAGAGAGATACTCATATTTGATGCCTAGTATTATCTCAAATAGGATTGTCTACAGTAAAATAATATATAGCTATGCGTAGCAAAAACACAAAAGAAATGACAGAAAACGATTTGAGAATGGTGCGGATATATACTGTGCCCAACTGGGTTCTCACACGTAAAGAACGAGGTAGAGGGAGAGCTGGAAAAAAAATTGTCTAGACAAGTCATAATTGTACCATATACTCCTCTAATCCTAAATATAAGACCTTTATAGACACTAGTATAAGAATCTTATATTTAAGATCATAAGAGTATTTGATTATGTTATAGATGTTAACGAATTCCATTTTTGGAGTTGAAGATTCAGTTTATTATTCATGCGTGCCATCCATGTATTAACACTTCAGCAAGATTTGGGTCTGGACATCAACTCTCCTCTCCCCCGGTTCATGAATCCAAGAATGAAGTTTCATTTGAATTTGTGAATTTTGGATAATGTACCTGCTTTATTTAATTTCTCCTTCAATCAGTCTTTAATATTTCTTCGGAGTTACTTTCTCGCCACTGCTTATTTATTATAGTTTTAGATCATCAAGATCAAGGTGAACCAAAAAAAAAAATGAGGATCAAAGTTTATGAACACATTAATTTATATTTTTAAAGATATCAAACGGGAACACTCAGATTTAATCCAACAATTCACTACTAACTACAAATAACAGCAACGATGCATATTTGAACTAAAAAATGCGATCATAATTAACGATTGTGTATGGGCTAAACACCCACCACGCACATTAATATTATTTTTTAAAAGAACTTGCAATTGTTTTGAGAGATGAGGCTGGAACATACGTGACAAATACGTTGATTATGTTATTAGGGACAGCACTACAGCCTAGTGAAGATTTTGCCTTATAAACTGATCGAAAGGGAATTGAAAATGAAGCAGGTGCGGCTGAAAGTGATGGTCACTTAGTCACGTGACAATCTAATCTTCTCATGCAATTTCCACTTAACACCACCGCCTCCCCTCTGATTAATTAATATATAATCTCAAATTTGTGTTCATTTATTTGTCCCCCAGCGCCGTGGAATATTAATAGCCACAAGTTTTTGATAATTCTGAGGGTGACAAACAGTACAAGTGCCTCATGCAGGCTCCCACACTTCTTGCAACATCTATGCTTATCTCTACTTTAGTTTATTAATTATTATTATTATTATAGGCGGCTTAATTAGAGGATACTAGTATTAGCATATATAAATATTTTAGAGCAGAGCGGCCTTTTCTCTTGTTTCCAGCCTCGTAACGAGAATATCCCTACGAACAGGCCTTTCACGTTGTGGGACGGCAATTCCCGATCACCAGGGCTACAACTACAAGTCTACAAGTCACGACTTGTGGATGGGAATGATCAGATTTGGGTTTTTTTTTTTTTAGGTTAATATAATCTTGGATCCATCAATTTTATCCTCATTTTAGTTTTGGTCTTTCAGGTTTCAAACTATAGGTTTTGGTCTTTTAAGGATAAAATAATTCAAGTTTTTATTAAGTTATAGGGACCAATATTTTAAATGAAAAGAAATTTGATAGATTAAAATCAAAATTAGAGCAAAATTAAAGGATCAAAATTTATATTAACCTTTTTTCCCCCACAAATTAGAGATAAATTGCCCGTTAAAAATTTTATTGGCAGAAAAATTTAATTTTGAATATTGCACAAAATTTATTGAGAATCAATAATTTTTATGTAAACAAATTTGTCAAGTTTTTTATTAATAAAATTTTTAATAGGAAAAATTTTCAACTCTCCCTCTTTGCCATGTTAAATTGACTCAA